TTTGACGAGAACAGAGTGTGCAGTAATGCATACTGTTGGACAAAATATAGCTGAAGCTCATACAAGTCTGATATGTTGTATTACAAAATATTCTTTGACCTTCTATGGATCACATTTTAATTCACAGTTTGTTGTCTTTGCTTACTTTGAAGCCGATACCAAAATATCTTATTGAAGCACACAGATTCCAGCCTTGCATATATATAAAGTTATTTTAGTGTACCCGCTGCAACATGCAGGGAATCAACCAGTACTCTTGTGTACATACGCATGCAAAGAAAATAGACCATGGATGCATATGCTCTCTGTTCCGTAAGTTGGTGTGCACGATCTCCTCCCCCAACAATATATACACGTTGTAGCTAGTGCGCATGGTAGGCACTAACATATATAGTTGTTGACAAAATGACAAGTTAACTTGCCAGCTGAACTCAACCCTGTGACATCTGTCAATCTAGGCTTGGGAGGCACCAGGAAGTGTCGATGTGAGAACAGACGTTGAAACATGTCATGTCCATTCACATCCGTTATCAGGCATACACGGCGGTGTGCAGCCGCCACCGGGCACCCTGCCTCCGGCGACTCTTCCACGGCTTGAGACGATGAGAAGCCGTGGCGAGCGGCGACACTTTGGAGATGGACAGCAGCTAAGCGTAGGGTGAACAGTCCGTTGTCAAGTACTATCATATTTGCCTGACCACACGAATGCTAACTATAATATACTAGTTAAGTGCCCGTGCGTTGCAAGGGAAAAAAATAATACATCAATTTCAAATTATTGAATAAAATTGTGCTGAATAGTTATTGAGTGTTTCTTAATAAAAAGTAGTAATGCAATAAAATCCTAATTCAGTCCGGGGATATACGTATTTAGCTGTATTTACACTCATGACATCAAATCAAGTAACTAATTGCAACAAGTATATACAGATGGCATTATGTATTTCATAACATGGCAAGTGAATGCAAGAGAAGTAATTTTGCGAGTATAGGGGACAAAACCAAACAATACAGCATAGGACAACACGTCCGCAATTCAAACCCAGAGCAATACTATAATGTTCGCACTGCCAGGACATCATAGCTTCAACGATTGATTGAGAACACGCACAAGTATCTTTTGTCATGAGGCACATATTCTCTATGCCTGCAATATATTCAATATAAAAATCTAATGAACCACAACACATAAAGCATCAATATGTCCTCCAGAATCACACACCACAGGTGCACCACAAGCTAGCTTGTTTGGTCATATTCATAGCAGGTGATATTCCAATGGGAGAGGAATGGAGGAAGGTTAACTTGCTGGAGATCAGAGAGTGACTTAGTTTGGTTTGCCTGGATAAGAGGAAAATAGGTCAGTCCTTATTTGCCAGTATATAGTAATAGTTATATATGTATGTTATACCATTCCCGTATAACTATTTTCTCTATACGATAATACTATGTGTTTTCTTCTAATATACTGGAGCATAACATGTAATTTGTGCAAAGATGAAAACATCAGCCACAGTAAAATCTTTAAAAAAGAAGGGAAAATAGTTGCATAAAAGAGAAGCTTTGAAATCTGGATCAAGAAATGACATTGACCCATGAACTATTTCTCAAAAGGACAAATCCGCATTCTTAAAAGTATTATTTCTTAATTTTCTCCACAAGTTCTTCAACAACAAAGACATTTCATGGGTCAATTACAGAAAATACAGACCTAAAAACAAAGGATAAAGCCTCTTCTTTATAAGAGAGAAGAGGGGGAACTTTTTGGTGGATATTTTAGAACAGTCGCTATGGTTCAAGGAAATAGCTAATCCTCAAGTGGGTAATGGACAATCAATTCTATGCTTGGATGATACATAAGCCAAAAAAATTGAATTGAATTGCATATGTGCACAGAGGTAGCCGTTCAGGGCTCCTGGACCCACTAAATTGATACTTTGCTGAAAAAAGGGAACAAATCAATCCAAAAGTCAGCTCTAAACAAATGACATTGATCTGTTGATGTAGCATAAGCAGTGCAATTAAAAGCTATGGAATATGAGTACACAGATGGAAGGTTTCGTACAGAAAACCCCAATTTCTGATAGCCTAACCAGAACCAATTCAGGGAGCCTTATAAAGCTTTCTACAAAATGCAGGCCACACAGGAAATGCTATCTACTTACATCAAAAGGAATCTAGTTTTGTTCTTCTGAAAACAGATTTGTAGGCACTCCTATTTGTAAGTTAAATATTTCTTTAACTTACTGTTAAAAAAAACATGTTCAGCATCCTTGAGTCTAGCTTGCATATATCTATATCAACACTGGCTACTTCAATCCCATGTAAACATATGAATATGACAGGCAACATGATAAAGTTTAAGAGAAAAATATAGAGCAAAAGGTATGTAGTTGCATCCTCAATCCCATATAAATGTTTAAAAGCTTGACAGCCTAATGTAAGATTTTTTTTGGTTTTCCACCGCTGGTTGTACGATTTTGGGTAGCAATCGATTGGGTGGGCTGGACAGCTGCAGCCAAAAATGCCGCAACAATCAGAACTGATCAGCCTCAATATGTTGTTTTTTAGATAATGGAAGCTTTATTTAGACTCATTTAATTACATCAAGATGATAGAATCAAACTGAGTCACCCCCGGCCTCTGCATAAAATGCACATAGCCAAAAAAGAAGAAAGAAACAACTAGAACATCTCCCAAGCACAAAAGTTTAACAGAAACATATATCTTAGTGGCTATCAATCCGTAGGCTAGACCGTCACCCATGCTCCTGGGTAAAAAAACTCCTGTGCCACCTGGTCCAACTGTCGAGATACCACCGTATATCTTAGTGACTATCAATCCGTAGACTAGACCGCCACCATGCTCCTGGGTAAAAAACTCCTGTGCCACCTGCTCCAAACGTCGAGATACCACCATAATAGTATCCCGCAGTCCCGGTTGGTGGAGGATAGCCCATGTACGTAGCCACCGGGTAACTAAGGTGATAACCTGCAAAGGAGAAGACACCATCTTGTTATCAAAAATTACTCCATTCCTACTTAACCAAATGGACCCACACAGAGCTGTTGCACCCATCAAAAGTAGATTCCTCATTTCTTTGGGGACACATGATAGCCAAATCCCAAACATATAACCAACATTGCGAGGAGGTTTCAGATTAGAAACCAAATGAATTACAGACCACACCAAGCGAGATAAGCGGCACTGAAAGAATAAATGTTGGATAGTTTCATCCTTGTGGCAGAAACAACATGTCTTGCTGCCTTTCCAATTTCTCTTAGCAAGGTTGTCCTTGGTGAGAATTACGCCCCGACGTAAATACCAAAGGAAGATTTTAACTTTTAGGGGTACTTTCACCTTCCAAATCCGTCTAATGATATTCGGAACCCCGGTATGTGTTAGAGCTAGATAATGAGATTTGACTGAGAAGACCCCATTCGGGGTGAGGTTCCAGTGAAACTCATCTTGCTCCTGTACCAGAACCAAATCAGCTATGCGAGGCAATAGGTTATGCCAAGCAGCTATTTTTGCACCAATTAAATCCCGTCGCCATGAAAAGCATGGAGGATTGGTTTGGAAAATCTGTGCGATAGTCGACTGTTTATGCCTAACTATGTTATAGAGACAAGGATACTGTTCTCTTAACAAGGCATTACCCAACCATTTGTCTTCCCAGAACCTAACTTGGGAGCCGTCCCTAATCTTGAAGGATCCAAAACGGAAAAAGTCATGTTTGACCTTCATAAGACTAGCCCAAAAATGTGAATCCCCCGCTTTCCAATAGGCTTGAGATAAAGGTTGTGATCCCAAATATTTATTGCGTAGCAGTTGTTGCCATATTCCATCGGTGATAAGTAGTTTGTATAACCACTTACTAATCAACGCTTTATTCTTTATCTCGAAGTCATGAATTCCTAGCCCCCCTTGTTCTTTGGGACGACAAATAATGTCCCACTTAGCAAGCCGGTATTTCTTCTTATGTCCATCCCCTTGCCAATAAAACCTAGATCGAAGGTAATCAAGTTTTTTAAGTACCCCACTAGGAATTGCAAGGAATGACATCATATACATTGGGAGACTGCTAAGTACTGAGTTAATCAAAGTAAGTTGTCCTCCCAACAAAAGAAGTTTTCCTTTCCAGCTACTCAATTTCTTCTCAAATCTCTCGACCACTTCTTTCCATTCCGCATTTCTTAACTTCCTATAATGGATCGGAATGCCCAGATAATGGAATGGGAAGTTGCCGACCTGGCAGCCAAAGAGCTGGTTGTATTGATCACTAAAATCGCTCTGACTCGAGAATTTAATGCATTAAGAAAAATAGAGCAGCACTTAATCAGAAGTTATGTGCAATTGATCTGAAGATAGCATTATATAGTTTAGGAAGGATATGGCATCGAGGTGGGGAACAAAAGTGTGAAAATCCCCAATGATGGAGCAGAACTCGATAGTGAAGCATTACCTGGTCATCGAACATCAGTTTCTTATGCCAACAAGATCTCAACTAAATTGCAAGCTCAATAAACAAAAGAATCAATATCATCTCTTGTTCTTTACACTATACAAAGACCATTTCGTTTGACCTAACCCATCCATCCTGCCCAAGTTTTTCAAGTCTAAGCCATTGGGGGGAGTTCCTTTAGTTGGTTTGCTCAGTGTTTCACAACCACTATTTTCGCAAATTTGCATTTGAATTGTAATGGTTGAAAGAACGAGATCTAGCAATGCTTACCTTGTCCACAGCGTGGTGGAGAGAGTTCTGGTGGCATCGGAATGGAGAGCGTATCTGTTAGGTAGCCTCCTAGTCTTGCTCACTTGGAAAAGCAGATAAATCAACCATAAGAGATGGTGGAATATCATTCCCGTTGTGTTTCAAAGCCCTAGAATAACAGGTAATCAAGCATGCATATCACACATTTTATCCTATAAATGATGGACCTCATGCATGATTTCAAGATAGAGTGAATTCACATTGAAAACCTAAAAACGGGCCAGTGCAATTTACGGATACTAAAGGAATGTCCACTCTTACGTGAGTGAAAATGTCACCAAATGGATGACTCCCAGAGAAGTCATCTGGGCCACCACCTGACGCTTGGCGCTCAGAAAATCCAGTAGAACAATCGATCGCAAATCGAAAAAGACAAATCACATATTCACTATTTATGTCAGTAGTAAGGAAGGCACCATTTGGCATTGAGGCAGATTATCATAGTCCTGTTTGGTGCAACTGCTTTTAAATATTATTTTGTTGTTTGGATAACTCTTTTCCTTCGTTTGATTTATAAAACAAACTACCAGGAAGATAGATTTATGTCTCTGCGGAAACTTAAAAAGCACATGCATAGTCACAGAAAATAGTTAATAACCCGGTCGTATGTTTCACGCTTATCTTCATCCTTCAAAACCTGAGATAAGCATGACAAAACGCACCCTTTAGAATAAGAATGTCCAATGGTTAATGTAGGACAAGCTAAGATGGTGCCCAAACAAAGAAACCAAAAACATGTTCAATGTAGGACAAACTAAAAATACTCTGTTACTTCCTTGTTTCAGGCTTCCATTCTAATTTATGAGTTTCCAAATGGATGTTACATGCAGCTTGCACTCATGCGGTTGGGTCAGCCTAGCGATGGAACTCCACCCGCCAGATCTACGCTGAGATGACAGCGAGGAAAGAAGCCGCTGAGGCGCTGACATGGCCCATTCTCCTCCCGCATACGGCCCCTGGTCATGGGCGTGGACCGTGGGGAAGGGATCCCGAAGACGAAGATAGGAGCGTGGAATGTTGGAGGTGAGGAAATATTGCAAAATCAGTATGCAAAAAACATCTTAATGGACTGAATAATATGCACATAAATAAATCGATAAAAAAAACTCACATGATCTTGTTAACGATGTTGGTGTGATGCCCCCAATATTGTTATCCATATCTTAATTTAGTGTTAGCCAGCTGAACAATCCTAACAGCATACTTCACATCGAGAGTTAAAACTTGTTTCTGTAAATCAGAAGAAAAATTCAAAAGTAAACTAATGAGAGTGAAAATAAATTATTCTGAACTTAACTCTGAAAACAGCTTAGAATGATATTCGCAACATCATGTTCCTTTTGAATAAAAAGTATGAACTCCAAGCAGCTATTATATCTGTTTATTCCATCGATTAAAGATACTTTCCATTAGGAAAAAGATATATTAGCTGCACATTTCGTAGAACACATGAATGCTTGGAGGTATATATTAGCTGCACATTTCGTAGAACTCATGAATGCTTGGAGGAACTCTCCATGCATTGGTTATGTATATGTGTGTTTCTGGTGATAACCTAAATTAGTTACAGATTACACCTTCAGCCAACATTTAGCTTGTACAAGTCCAACTCAAGATCAACTTCTATATTGAGGCATAAATAAGGAACTCTCAATTTATTGAGGATGAATTATGAATACACTGTGAGAGGTCTTTCTTGAAAGGAAGATTACTATGATCTCATTAAGAACAACAATAGTAGTGCGGCATACACATTTTTTCTCAAGTTTCTAGTTTGCATGAAATAAATATCAGTTATCAATGTTGATAATTCGAAACCACAAACAAAACTACATACTTATTATGCCGTAAGGCTGCACTATCAGGTCACTTCTTGCTATTTTTTGGGTTTTAAAGAAAAAATCATCATACACATGGAGGGTCTATATTCTTATTACTATGTGAATTTGGAATGTGAGTCTTATCCTATAAATTATTGGAAGCATACACTAATAAACCATTTTATTTTATTTGCACTGTACCTCAACTCTGTAGCCAAGTTAAACACAGAAGTATTTAATACAGTAATGACCTTTTCAATTCAGAGCTTCGAGGCAACATTCTGCCGCGGCAGGGTGATCGGTTGCTGCTCGGCGCGGGGTCGTGTCGTCGGGGGCCAGCTCCCATGATCCGGTGGCAACTGCAGAGGGCGAGGAGGGAGGAGAGCCAGTGTGGGGTCGTGTCGTCGAGGGCCGGCTGCTGCGATCCGGTGGTAGGAGAGGAGGGTGGTAGGAGAGGAGGGAGGGAGGCGCAGAGGGCCGGCTGCCACGATCCGGTGGTAGGAGAGGAGGGAGGGAGGCGCAGGCGGCGATGGGGGTGGGGGCGCGGTCGGAGAGAGGCGGCAGCGGGGTGACCGTCTGCTGCTCGGCGCAAGGTCGCGTCGTCGGGGGCCAGCTCCCGCAATCCGACGGCAGTTGCGGATGGCGAGGAGGGACGCATCGTCGGGGCCCGGTGTCTCGATCCAGTGGTAGGCGAGGAGGGAGGGAGGCGTCGGCGGCGCTGGGGCCACGGGCGGAGGGGCGGCGCAAGGGGTGGGTGTGGGCGCGATTGCGCTGGGAATCGGGAGCGAGCGGGGGCAGCAGCGAAGGGAGCGGGGAGCGTGGTTGGGAAGAGGGGCGCGATAGAGGGAGCCAAAAGGGGAGATGGCGCGCGTTTGAAGCGTTGATTTTGCGGGAGGATCCTAAAAGCAATCTTACCCCTTGAATTACCTAGGACTCACCATCACCACTACAGAATTTTTAAAAGTAGTAGAGATACTCTCTCTCTATTTCAAAATGTATAAAGCCGTTGATTTGTCGTACAATGTTTGATAATTTATACTATCTAAAAATTTTGTATAAATATTATTTATATATTTTATTGTGATTTATTTTATCATCAAATAAAATATAGTCTCAACTTATACCTTAACATATTTATACTAAATTTTTTAATTAAACAAACAGTCAAACATTATAAGAAAAATCAATAGCGAAATATACTTTAAAATGGAGGGAGTATATAGTTGCTTCTTTGGATCAAGAAAATGCACAGCTCGTCACCATGCTCCGTTTAGATTGCTAAGTAGTACTCCCTCCGTTTCGTTTTATTTGACACCGTTGACTTTTTAGCACATGTTTAACCGTTCGTCTTATTCAAAAACTTTTATGAAATATGTAAAACTATACATATGCATAAAAGTATATTAAATAATGAATCAAATAATAGGAAAATAATTAATAATTATTTAAATTTTTTGAATAAGACAAGCAGTTAAACAACATGTGCTAAAAAGTCAATGGTTTCAAATAAAATGAAACGGAGGGAATAGCAGTGGACAGCAGCATCTGTTAACTTTGGCGTTCGCCGCCGTATGCTCATCTGTTCACCAGCACGCACTATCGATCTGCGTTCTTGCCGGTGGATTATCAATTTATCATCCGGGGATGAGAAAAACGACTGTAGTTTAATAAAATTTCAGAGGCTTCAAATACAGATACTCCTATACCAAATTAGTGAATCCAGCTGAAACTAAGCTCTGTTCTTTTCTCATGAAGATATAGATTTTACCTCGGTTTCCGTTAGCACGCTTTTCAAACTACTAAACGGTATGTTTTGTCAAAAACATTCTTTATAAAAGTTGCTTTAAACACTACTACAAAACATCAAATAGGTGTCGGCACTATAGGTACCGGAAGTGCTAAAACAGGCACCTATAGGCCTTTTCACACTTCCGCGGGTTGAAATCGTAAAAAACCGGCACCTCTAAGCAATTATAGATACCGATTCTATATAGAATAGGTGTCGGTTTTTATTTAAAAAAATTACCTATGTATTATAGGTGTCGGTTAATTAAAAACGGACACCTATAATATATTATAGGTACCAGTTTTTTTAAAAAATACCGACACCCACGTAAATCGAGCCGAGCCAGCGGGCCAGGTTTGCTCGCTAGTCGCTTCTTGATCTCTCTCTCGCCCCTCTCTCTCTCTATCTCGTCCCCTCCTTCTCCCCGCATACGGCGTCGTCGGTGACGGCTTCGCGGATACGGCGATGCGCGAGGCGGCCTTGGCGGCGGCCGGGGTGGCGACAGCGGACAGAGACTTCTCCCGTGGGCTCCGGTGGCAACGGCGACTCCCGCGATGGAACTCGGCGGCGGCCGGGGTCGGCGTCGGCGGCGAAGGCTTCTCCTGCGGACAGAGCTGTGGCGACGGCGGCTTCCACGACGGATCCGGCATCGGCGGCGGCCGGGGTGGCGACGGCGGGCTCCCACGGACGGAGTGGTGGCGGCGGCGGCTCCCGCAATAGATCCAACCTCGGCGGCGGCCGGGGTGGCGACGACGGGCGGAGCTGCATCCTGGGTCGGCATCGGCGGGTGGAGTGGTGGTGGTGGCGGCTCCCGCAACAAATCCGGCAACGTATCGGCAACGGTAATTTGTTTCTATGAAATTGTTGAGGGATTTGTGGTCTGTGCTTTTTTCATCTGTGATTTGTGTGAAATTTCTGTGATTTGTGCTTTAAGGGATATGTCTTGGATGGATCAATGGTTACAGTGTGTGAAACTTCTGTGATTTAGTTTGGATAGATGGTGGTCTCGTGTGTGAAACTTCTGTGAATTGCTTTGGATTGACGGTGGTCTAAGGGTGACGAGGAATGGCTCGATGCATCGTGCCGATGCATTGAGCCCTTTTTTTTTATTCTTGAGACCTCAAAGGTAACTTTGAATATTCACATTAGTACCGCGCCTCAATGGTGCCGGTTGGGAAAACCAACCGGCTCCTATATGTGGGGTTCCTAACTGGCACTATGGTAGTGAAAATATCAAATATATCCATTTATCAAGTTTGTAATAATTAAAACTTAATTAATCATATGCTAATAGCTTTTTCGTTTTACGTGCGCTAACTTAGACCCTGTTTGTTTTAGCTTAAGATTATTATAATATGTATTTGTCGACGTTTGATGTCGTGATTCCGGCATTTACATAGTATGGGGATCGTTGGTACTAGGATATATGCGAGATTATAGTAAAAAAGATGGAGACGGGGATTTTTATACAGGTTCGGGCACCTGAATTGTCAGGTAATAACCCTACTCCTGTTGGCCGAAGCCGGTCGTTGCTCTTATTTACCATAATCACACCAGTACAATATTTGGGGTAGCCTATCTATCTTTTGTCGACATGGCGGTCTGAAGTGCTGACACGTAGTCGACAACAGAGTAGTATTTCTCCTCGAATCCGTGTCCGGCGAGATCAGAGACAGCGTTAGATCCTTCTTGATGGTAGTCGTAGGTACCGTATGGGGACTACTAGGCTTATCTCCAATGTTGATATCCGGCGGCTTGTCTTGGCGTATGTTGGCTTGTATGTTGATCTATTGTTTTATGTCCCCTCTTCTTCTAGGGGCCTTGTATTTATACCCATAGGTATCCCCTTATCAAAATAGAACTAGGGAAACCAATATGGATACAATCCGAGTAGTCCTTATCATTTTCATGTAGAACCCTAGTTGTCTTTCCTTATCCGGAACTCATCCTATATCTGAAAACTATTTCCGTATAATACATGGTATGTGGTGGGTCCTGCCGAGATTTAGTCAACTACTATCAGGTATGTGGTATCTATAACCCTGACAGTATTATTTGGAGTAATTTGAAACAAACAAGTATCAATTATTATAATCTACAAGCTAGATTAGTACAATCTAGTAATCCACTTTAGAGGTGCAATTTTTATATTATTGGATGGCTAAAAATCCACTGCCCGTATATATTTTAAAAACTCACCCACCTTTGCTATGGAACGGAACAAATCAGGCTCCATCCTTCCCACTCAACACGCACATTGACCTTCTCTACCCTCCAGCTGCACGCGCATTGGCTCCTCTTCTATTCCGCGTGTCATCTCTCATCCTCTCGGCACATCCATCTCCATCTCCAAGCCACGCCGCCGAAGCCGTCTCCTTCTCATCCTCCTCCGTGACTTAACGATTCCTCGTTCATGGAAGTTTTATTTATTAATATATGACATTAATTTTTAGCTATTTCAAATTATGTATTTATTGTATACAATGACAAATGGATGAACAATACATCCAAAATAGTTGAGGACATTATAGACATTAACATTTCAAATCCAGTAATCTATGCCTCCAATAATCCAGAGAAACAAACCATCATAGCTTATTTTATATTAACTTATTATAATCCAAGCTCCCAACGGATGGCCTATTCAGCCAAAGAAAAAGCCAAATTTTAAATTTTCAAACTTAATTTTGATATTGATTTTAAGATATTTTCAACATAGTTTCTTTTTCAAAATTGACTTTTAAGTCACCGAGAAAACATATGTAAAAGTTTTACCTACAAATTCATTTATATTCCCTAATAAGCCGTTTTGGCTTATTATAGAAAAAGCCAAATGATGGGGCCTCCAGATTTCAGTAATCTCGCTCAATAATCTAGATTGCAATAATCTAAGCTGAAAGAAACAAGGCCTTAATCTTTATCTTCATGACGCCATCCTCAACCCAAAAACTATCAATTAGTTTTCGTACTCGCCAACTGTATATCTAAGGGATGATGTCTTCAAATTAAATTCTCATCTAATCACCTCTCTTCCTTTTCCTTTTATCTATATATACTTTTGTTTTCATTCTTGGTTATTGTGTTGAGGCAGTTTCTTGAATGAGAAATTATTCCTCCATCTTTTTATCTCTCTTCTCATTAACTCTTTTTCCACATTAGATTTTTACTTATGTGATAATGTATTTAATGCTATAGGCGTATACTAGATGTTACGGAGGATTGATGACAATGAGGGCTGGGAATGGCCTGATCTTCAAACACCACCCAAGTGAGTCATATGTGTCCCATCATTTCAGTTGGGCCGGAACAGATATCCAGTGAGCCTGCGGGCCATATCGGTGTGCGCATAGCAGCTAGCACACATACTCCCTCCCCTCCGTTCCAAAAAAAAAAAAAAAGCAAACACTGGGTTTCTATGTCCAACTCTTTCCGTCTTATATGAAATTTTTTTATAATTCGTATTTTCATTGTTGTTAGATGATAAAACATGATTAATATTTTATGCGTGACTTGTCTTTTTAATTTTTTTATAATTTTTTTAAATAAGACGGATGGTCAAACATTGAACACGGAAACCAGGGTTTGCCTTCTTTTTTTTTTTTGACGGAGGGAGTACACTGCATCGATGGTATACAGTGTACGTGCAACATTGAACAGTTTCTCGTCCCCTTTCTCCTTGAGATTAAAAGATGTCAGGGTCCTGAATCTGCGTAGTCCAGGCTTTCTAAATATAAATACATTTTTGTAACTTTGATTTGTGAACGAGTACTTCCACAAAATTGAACAGCCACATGGAAATGAATATGTTAAAAAGAGCTTTAATCTCCGACTAGGAAGAAAGCCCGTGCCAGATACGTGGGCTTCTTATTAAATGTTTTATATAAACAATGCTAAAAGAAGTTACATCCCGCCATTTCCATTTAAATGTTATTAAACAAGAAGAATATCTCTCAAACTAAAAAAAACATTTTGACCGAGTAACATATAAATTCTCCTATTGTCACCATTACTTATTATGCTTTAAAAGCTAAGTGAACTGCATATGTACCAATAATATAAAACTAATGTATCATTAATACACTAAAATATCCACTACTTAAGCTTCATGTCTTACTATAGAATATAGACATTGTAAAAATACTACCGCTTCTATCCATTAATGGGATAGCACCATTAAAGTTAAATAGAAATGCTACTCTAATATGGGTGAAGCCCATCATAGCCTCAAGACTTTCTTTCTCTATTGCCTTGAAACATGTAGCCATGCTCCTTAAGACCAGCTTGCAGCATAATTTTAATGCCTAATTTGTTATCGCACGATTATGGAGTATTACATCGGTAAGTATGAAGTTGAGGACTATTAGCGATGGTGGCCTCCATTGGGGCCACCTTCATTTAGCCATATGTTTCATGCTATACTTATGACACCGTAGTAAACACTATTTTTCATGTTTGGTACCCTTTAGTGAAGGACAAAGAGAAGGTGGAGGTGATCAAAGTAGTTTTTCTAAATGTTTTAAGTAGATTTGTGGTATAGAGTAGACACAATTTGTTTATGGTGTTGATCATTACTACTCAAATTTTTAGATATAGATAGAGTATTCTCTTTTGAAAATGAGCGAGGTTAATCACTCTATGATATTAAAAAAAATTATAGCTAGAGTCATACTACCATGATAATATCCAGAGCACCATATTATTCTTTATATTTTGACAATATGTATAGTTTAGCGCCTAGTTTGTTTTCAACACCAATTGTTCATAGCCATATGAGACACTTTTACTAATTTGAAGAATGTATTTATTTTCTAAACTTATTTACAACAACTAATCAGTTGGAGTACGCTTATAGTCATGCCAGTGGATTTTCTTATATATATCCATCAGTTATGTCTAACATATTGAAAATCCTTAAGTATAAGAAATTATATCATGATTATTTTATTGCGCATGCTACTTCATTGTTTATTTATGTCAAAACTATTTGGCAAAGGAATAAAAGTATGATCATAAATCTCATGATGGATTAAGAGGTTGCATTATAGAAAGTTCATTGGCTGGAAATATTTTTGATATTTTTTTTCATATCTACTACCTTCGTCCCAGAATATAAGTTCTTGAGTTGGACATGGCTATTAATAAAGTAGATAGAATTAAATAGGGAGAGGTTTTTATTGGTTGAAAGTGAATGTATGTGGAAAAAATGAATAGTAGAGGGTTGTGATTATTTGGGAAGAGAATATTGATGAAGAAGTTATCATATTTGGGATAATTTATGCATGTTAGAAATTGATATATTTGGGGATGGAAGGAGTATGTACTATGTATGCTAATCAGTTTTCAAATACTAATCAAACAGTTCTGAAAATATAAAAAAAAACATTTGAGAATTTTAGTCTCAAACATATTATAATTTAATCAGATCTACTTTGAAAACACAATTAAATTTTGTTGTTTTCATTTTTTACTTTGTAGATTTAAATTAGTGTTGTATATTTGAGAAGTGATATTCCAACCCCTAAAATATGATGCAAATGTTTTGAAAATTATCATACAACTATCTATTATATATTAGCCCCATATGTCGTGATGTATTTAGGACCACAATACAACTTCTATAGTTGAACTAAAGTAATACAACGGGATCACAAATTAGATTTATTTAAAAATAAATTTTCTTAAAGAATATTGATTGGATATTTTATATTTTTTATTATAGATCTTAGTTTAACTATATATACTTATATTTGTGAAGTAAAATATTTTTATCTAAAATCATATTTTAAAGGCCGTCGTTTTTTATGGATGTACATTTTTTTTGGCTGTCTGTTTTATCTTAGTTCCTATGGTTCTCTTGGTGAACAATAGGTTAGCTTTATTGTTTGGTTTTCAATCGTACGTACGTACAAGAGTATAGTAGTAGTGTGTATCGTATAAATAGGGGGAAGTTATTACTTTGTAATAATTGAACTGATCTAATGGTATAAAATAACGGATCCACCAATTTAAGTGAAAATTAATGGTGAGATTAGATAGTAACATGTGGCGACTTAGGAACATTTATAAGAGTGCCCCAGTCGATGACACTATCACCTCAAAGTCCGACGTGCCTCAAGTGGTCAGAAGCCACGACTCCAAGTATAAGGACAAGGAAAAAGGAGAAGTAGATGGTTTCCATTTTCAGAGGTGGTAAAAAAGTCCCAAGGAGAGAAAAGATGATGAGAAGAAGGCCGCTCAACTTGCGAGCCCAAAATACTTTCCAACAGTTGATTGCCCGGATATATATGAAAATGGCAAAGCTTTTTGGCCGGATTATGCACTTGAAGAAGGTCCATGGGAGATAAGAAGGCTACACAAATGGTACATGGACACCAGCAAGAAAGGACTAGTATCATTAACCGTTCGACCACCGCCCGATGCTTTCATGGCCAAAGATGGTCTCTTGTGGCTTGATTTCGGTGATCTTCGTGGCATCTATCATCAGGAAAAGATGGACGTGAACTTTGTTGCTGCGTGGTACCTTTGAGGCTGTGAGTAACGATATTTTTATACACAAATAAATAATTACACTAGAAAAGTTTTTGATTATTAATAACAAGCTTTTTTGGTAGGATGTAATACATGGATGTTGAGAAAACCAAGGAACCCATCGATTATCTAGATCCAACAAGGATCTGCCAAACCCAGCATACGGTGACATTATCAACCGTGACTAACTGCAACATCGTTACTATTTAGCGATCGTTATATATGTTTCTTGCTCTACCCAATGTATGGGAGCGTTGTGGTCCTGGACCCCCTTGATTATGAACACAAGACGTACAGACAATTTCTAACCATCTTACAATAGTAGGTGATTCTAATCGATGCGTGTCTACTTTTCATGAATTATAATTGAACCTCCACCTTCATACTAACTAATATCGAAATCCTACGGTGCGTACAATTACTGCAAGGTAAAGGGTGGAGAACAACTGCAAACAAGGGAGAAGTTGCTAGTGCATACATACTGGCCGGCAATACTCCGCACACTTAATATATTTAAATTCTTTTACTTACAATGTTTAACGAATTCATCCTATGTGTATGCCATGAAGTGTCACAAGCGACCTCGAGGCAGTATCCTCTACGGTTATTACACCTGCGATTACCTCAGGGTTAATGGGAGGTACATGACTAAGTAAAGTAAGAGGATGTAAGTATTTCAACTCAAACATATAAGTCCAATGGAAAACTACACATCTAAATGATATACTAATATATTCTTGTTTCATTCGTGGATGCAGTTGCCTAGAATCGAGCTCCAAATAAACTTTGAAGACATAGAGATCTCTGCCACTTTATCCACTGCGAGTCCTGTCATAAAGATGACAGTTCTTCGACCCAGAAGGAAACCTAGCGACAAGTGATGATTACAAGTTTCTTCCAGAGTGGAACAACTCGATGCTATAAAATTGTAAATGTGCATTTGAAATGACAATTGTAAAAAATATTGTAAATACATGACGACACTTTTCACTAATGCAATATATGCATTTATGACTAACAATATTAATGTATTAATAAAGTAATCAGTTGTACCGTTATTGATTAAGCATTAATAAAAAAATTGGCGGGAGATTTTAAATTTTGGTGCCAATTTTTTTCCAGGAAGCCCCCTAATTATCGCAGGCGGCTAGCTGTTTGCGAAAAATTTCTTCCCAGACGGACCGGTTGCCTTTGCCTACAAGTGGGCCGAGCATCCGCATAGGAAGACCTTTTTTGCCGCCACAGAAATGTTTTTTTTAGTACCAAACAAAACTGTTTGATCCAGATTCTAAAAAAATATAGTTACAGAATCCAGAAAATGAATTAGAGGTAGAAGCTGAGAAACTCAGCTTTTCTAATTTTTAAAAGCTAACTACCAATCAGCTGCTTTTTATAAAATCTTCTCTTAAAATATGCTTTTATAATGTGGGAGGGAGTTCTACACAAATAGAAAAATAATAAGCGGTGGTAGGAAGGAAATTCTGCCTTTTATCCATCGGCTGCCACGGCAGCTGCTTTTCTACTACTTTCCGGCGGCGCCGCTCTCCTGTAGAAAAAATGCGAAACCACTGCCCTCACGCGTGGCATCAGCAGCAGCACCGCGGCCGCATGTGGGCCGCCTCACCGGCCTTCCGCAGGCGCCTCTTCCTCCTCCGTTCCCTTTCCCCCTCCCCCTGCGCCGCCCTCCCCGGCAACGCCGCCTGCTCCTCCTCCCCCTCGCCGTCGACCTCCATTCGGGTCAACGCGATGTCGGCATCGGGCCCCGTGTACGAGGCGGACGCTGAGGCGGTGGTCCGCCGGATCACCCCGCCGCTCGACCGCGCGCGCCACAAGGGCCAGGCAGGTGAGCCAGCGCGACCCCTATCCCTCTCGTGCGCGCTCCGGGGTGGTGGATTTCGGGTTGTGGTGTTGCTGATGATGCGCTCTCTGTGTTTGCGGGATTGCCTCCGTAGGGAGCCATTGGTGGGATATATAGATAATACTCGAAGAAGAGGGATTTTATTCGGATTGTTGGGGCTAGAGAGGCCGTGCGGGGGACTTCTTGAGACTGGGGTTGCTAACTAAGGCGAACTCGAGCACTACACAGTCATTGCTTCACAATGAACCGTGTACTGAAACAGGACAGAAATTGGTGGATATTCAGGGTTAGCATTGCTGTTCTGTCTGATAGGACAGTGTTTTGCATAAGGGTGTTTTGATCGGCGACGAGTTTGGTGATACGTTCGCAGTGTTCGTTGTTTCTCCGTATGATTTGAAGTTCCTGTATGTTATGTGAAACTATAAATAAAGGAATATTTTACAATGGCGTGAAAGGATTTTGCTGAGGTGTAGAATTCACTTATAAAAAGGTTTGCGCTCTTGTAGAGTTAAGATTTTTCTGTGATATGATTTGCTACGAAAGACCATCCAGTAAGATTGCACAGATACAAGAATTTTGATCCAACCTCTAAGCATGTGTCGTCTTCATATTTCTAGTGCATAATCTACAAGAAAAATGTAATACTGTCCGTGTCTAGGAACTTTTCTACTGGTGTATACAGTCAGAAACATATCAAATCCTGTATGGACATACACATGTTGTTATGAAGATGTGAGCTGTATTTTCCAGTTTGTTATTGTTTCATGTTCCCAAAAAATTAGTTTCCTGTTGATTCCTTAAGTTTACTTACATATCAAATTATCGATACATTTCCCAGGGAAAATTGCTGTAATTGGTGGATGTCGTGAGTACACTGGTGCTCCCTATTTTGCAGCGATTTCTGCCTTGAAAGTTGTCAGTATCATCTAAATGTATCATTCCATAAATTACGCAACAGTACAAATAGTTCACATGATGTTATTCAGGGTGCAGATCTCTCACATGTTTTCTGCACAAGAGATGCTGCAACGGTAATAAAGAGTTATAGCCCTGAGCTGATTGTACATCCAATACTAGAGGAATCTTACAGTGTAAGGTAACATTCATGGTATTTATCTTTGCCGTTTATACTATAATCACAACATCATCTTCGAGAATCTGACTTTATAATTACTGCACAGCGATGGTGAGAGAGAATCTGTTTCTTCTAGAATTCTCACAGAAGTAGCAAAGTGGATGGAGCGCTTTGATTGCATCGTTGTTGGTCCTGGCCTTGGAAGGGACTCATTTCTTCTGGTCAGCTTACATACCTAACATCTTCTGGAGTATAAACACTATCTCTGTCCTGTTGAGGTCTTCTTCATTAGTCTTATTTGTTGCTACCTTTGCGTTTTATACAGTTTAAGATAGTTAATTATATTGATTGACAGTTGAAAACATCTTTGCTGTCATAATTCTTGTTTTCTCTTCCTTTGAAACTAACCATATTTCGAATATATTTTATTTTCAGTTTGCACCTTTGGTCAAGCATTGTTGCAACTGTGTCTACCTCCATTCCTAATTGCATTAGTAGCTCCCAGGGCCAAGGATAGACCAGATTGGTGTTGATAACTCATCCTGTATTTCTGAAGATCTACAGTTTGAAATTATAAAGTTCCTTGATAGTAAGGACCTTGTGTTTCATATGGTTAATGCTCTATGTAGATGACAACCTCAGTCCTGAAACTTTTTCCATGCTAGAAATGGTAGCTTCATTTTGAAGGTGTGGAGGAGTTTTAACCATGCATGACTTTTTTCAATTGGAACTGAAATTTCTCTTTTGTATTAATGTCCCATGTCATCTATTTGTCTAATCTCCTATATGGAGATCATGCCATCTTGCCCTAAGTACTTACGATAGTATTCAAATTTGTCAGCTTATGTTTGTTTTGACATATCTTACTTGTAGGACTGTGTAAGTAATATCATGAGACATGCACGGCAGGCAAATATTCCAACAGTCGTTGACGGGGTACCATTTGACTTTTTTTTAAAAAAAAAACATACTTGAAATTATAAATTATGAACAGGACTTGATATTTTTTAGTGATCTGCAGGATGGCCTTTTCCTTATAACCAATAACCTTAGTCTTGTTGAGGGTAACTTGCTTGCCATCCTAACACCAAATGTATACGAGTACAAACGTCTTGTCCAGAAGGTTCTTAACTGTGAAGTAAATGAGGAAAACGCTTCTGAACAACTTACTGCACTATGCCAAAAGTATGATCATAACCATTGCAATCATTTATTCTTCACTGGTCATCTGTGATGTTTTCTGATTCTGTTGAACAGAATCGGTGGCATAACCATCATGCGGAAAGGAAAAGCAGATATAATCAGTGATGGCAAAACTGGTATACTAGAAACATTCTTTGGCTACTTCAAATTTTGGTGAAACTATAATTGGTTTCACCAGATTTTATATCTCTTAACTATTTGGTATGTTGTTTTATTCAGTAACACAAGTAAGTACCTTTGGTTCCCCAAGGAGATGTGGTGGTCAAGGTGACATTCTTTCAGGAAGGTTTGTTGCCAATGTGGTGCTGAGTGTTTCCTTCTGTAGTTATTTCTGCTCCTTTTCTTTGGAATTTTTTTCCCATGCTGCTTTCTACGCTTCATATCAAACATATGCCCCAACATAACCTTTACCTCCATGTTTTGCTACTGCCAAAACCAGTGCTTAAATCGAAAGTACTCAGTTTTGGATCGACTCATTTATTTTCCTTCCGTTCGTCATAAACAAATAACAAAGAAACTTTTCTAGGAATACAGTTTTAGTTTGTTCTTTGATGATTTGAAAACCACATGCTATGGTAACATGAAAACTAGCTATGTGAACTTCAATTTTGAAGATAACATTGAACTTAAACAATGAGATAATGACCAGAACTTTGTTCTAACAAGAACTGATTATCCCGCCCTCAAAATAAATAAAGGTCCTGCAGTTGCACTAACTGCTACCACTTTTGTAATGTGTGCTTCAGTCACAGCACACTGCATAATTACCCAGTATGCAATAAGTATGCAATGGGTTCTTGGGAATCTGATAATTGTGTTCAATCATCTTTGTGTTTCTGTAAATATTGGCTATTCAATTATTTATCATCCTCAAATACCATATAACTATTGCATACTCGTTGCTCAATGCTAACAATCTTCTATTGAATGTGAGCTAAAATCACGTTCATATGCAAGCATATGTGCTGGTCATGAACTTACCTATGAGAACTCTGCTTGATGTAATAGTTTAGTTCCATTCTTAAGCAATGCCATGGTAGCTCAAAATTCTGGCATTAGTACTTCAAAAGTGTGTTTTTATTCAACGTTCATTTTTGCTGGTTTCTTACCTTATCCGGTTTACTGTTGGTGGTAGTGTTGCAGTATTTGCATCATGGGCACGTCACTTTCTCCTGACGAATGAGTACCCTACAGAGAAGAGGTTATGATCAATCACTGTTTCCCACCACTCTTGACTACCATGATATTAAATAATATTTGCGTTGGCATTGGTGCGGTACAGCGTGAATCCGATGATGCTTGGGTGCATTGCTGGCTCTCTACTACTTAGGAAAGCTGCATCACATGCTTTTGAGAAGAACAAGAGATCAACTGTCACCACTGACATCATTGAGTTACTGGGCAAAAGGTCCGCGTGCGCTCTCACTAGATTTTTTGTTTCAACTTGTATCGTATTTCTTCATTTTTTTTACACCTTGCACTTTTCCTCTTGCAGCTTGGAAGATATATGCCCTGCTGGTCATTAGTTTAGATCTTTACCATCATTGGTGGTACGGCGCCTTAGCACCTGTAATAATGGTAATCCATATGTTCGGATACCAGTCTCTCCCTGCTTAATGTACATGTTTCTTGACTGAAAAGATGGTGTTACAATGCTTGGTTTTGTTTAGCCTCCGTTTTGCTCAGAAGAATTCTACAGAATGAATAATGAATTGCCCCATAAATGGGGCTTTGATTTTGGAAAAAAATAGCCCAAATTTGCTGGAGTATGGATTAGGCCCGTTTGAGCTCCGGGGTGGTGATCCCCGCAAGGATCAAAGTGCAGCTGCAAGAAGAAAAGGAATGGAGGGGAAACTGTACCAAACAGAATTCTGGCACAGCTCAAATGTCTCATGATATGCCTATGCAAATTCCAGTTGTGTACAGTTTTGAGCACACGTCATTGGAGCCAAAGGTTCTTCACTCCTTCACTGTCTTGTCGCATCTACACTGAAGGAAGCTGTTTGCGTCACGCTGTATTCTGAGATTCGAAATTGTTTCTCAACAAGTCAAGCAGAGCTGTGTGCCTGTGACATCTGTTGTCAATTTTTTCATGCATGATTGGAAGCATCCTTCTATCCGTCATGTTCCATTGTCATCTGTGAGTTCCATATCTTGTTTAACTCCTTTTAAGAGAATTACTGCTGATGGTGAGTTTATTAATCTATCCTTGCTGCAGCACAACACATGCTTATTTTTTCTCTCTAGGGTGTAACAGAAATATCCTTATTGGTCAACAGACATGTTGAACACGAAGATTCACAATGGTCTCATGATAATGGATAACAGGTCTTCTTTCATCCACCTCAAAGATCATCCTGAATGAAATGCCGGGGGAGGCAATCAAGCAAGAAAGGGCTTCGGAAGGGTGACCCCCTATCCCCTCTCCTCTTTATTCTAGCAATCAACCCCCTTTAACGCCAGCGAGACAAGGCCACTAAGCTTGGGGCGATAAGCAAATTACGAAGAGAGCGGTACGTTTCTGCACATCCATGTATGCTGATGACGCGACTGTCTTCATAAACCCGAATAAAGAAGATGTGTGAGCTTTCACTGATCTCCTTGGTCGCTTTGGACATCAAGTATCATAATATTGCCTACTAAATACGTGCAACATCCACCGCGGCTAGGATAGCCCTGTTCCCCCCATATATAGAAGATAAATGATCCCTCACAGCGATGCATTACCCTTGAAGAACAGACATAAGAAAGAACTGAAACGAAGAGATTATTATGAGATGAATTCATGGGGACAGGATGTCACGCCCAGAAATTCACAAACCAGAATTTCTAAGCTGAATGTGCATTAAACCCCTGTTCAGGACCAGCCAGAGTACACAAACGACAATTGTTGACATACAGATCCACGTCTTACAAAAATACAAAAGATTACAAATGCAACGGAAAAGGATAAAAGCGAGCTAAGCCTGAAGACTTTACTCCTGCAGCGAGGCGACTCCATTCCACAGGCATCCTTGACGGCAGCGACGAAACCAACTCCTTCGAGACATCTCCAACTGAGAAGAACTTTAACTCTGGGGTGGGGGAAAAGAGAGCAAGACTGAGTACTACCCACTCTACTCAGCAAGTCATACCGGAAGAGAAGGTATGATGCAGAGTATAACCAAAGGAGGCTAGAGGTTCATTTGCATAAAGCTAGCATTTAAAAGCAGTAGTTGAAAGCAGTAAAACAGTTGTAGCAATTAATCAATATTAACCAATCACTGTCCAACGCTACACCACGTTGCAACAGGCCCAACCAACCACCTGAACTACACCAGTTCATTAAGCTAAACTAGGGGTGAGACTAATCACGGTGAATCTGGTCGACCGCCCATAACCGCGGGCACGGCTATTCGAATAGTTTTACTCTGATCAGAGGTGTACAACTGTACGCACAAGACACAGCCCCACGACACGTTACCGTGCGCCGACATGCCACCACGACATACCGGAAAGAGGCCGTGACAGGACCCTTCGCATAACCCACTCTAACCGATCGCACCACACCTTAGGGTTCACCCCCGTCCTCAGCAGGCAACGGGCAGCCCCCCTTTCGTGCCGCGGTGAATTAGGAAGCCGATCAACCGGACACCCCGGCCAACCCAACTCCATCATGCCCACCCTCGCCTAGGTACGTCGGCTAGAGGAAAGCTACACTACAAGCCCAGCCGTTGCCCACGCTGGCTTGTGGTAAGTATGATAAGTTCTTCCAGGGCATCCCGCGAATCGGTCCTTAATTGCCATGAGCACGACTAGCAAAACCATGCACCCACAGCCCACCATGTAGTGTATTTTGATTAACTAACACCATTGCGGTGGCACTAATCCAAAGCTATGCCAATAATCAAAGTCTATACATTAATGTGATTCCCCTTTTGTGTACTAGTTGAACTAAGCATGGCTAAGCATTTCCTAAGCCAACATCTAATCATTTTGATACCCAAGTTATCAATGACATAAGGTAAACAATATATGGCTGAGTAGTAGGACCCATCCCACATGATATTGTAAAACGATGCAACATTTAATAGAAATGCGGGACATTTGTAAATTGGGTACAATATAATCAATCGTAATGCATGACTTGCCTTGCTCTCGCACTGATGAGACCACAACAACGTCTTCGAGAAACCGTGGAGCGACGAAACGGCCGAGATCTACACGACAAACAAAACACACACGCAAAACATGCTATAAGACTACTGAAACATGAAACAAAACCATTTTTAATAGATTCTATGCATTTTTATGAATTTACTGAGACTTCAATGAACTTAATCGGAGCTCGAATGAATTAGATATGAATTTTAGAAGATTAAATGTGTTTTTACTATAAAAGAAAAGGCCTTAATGGATTTTATTGCGCAATAAAGGTCCCTGCTGACATCATCAAAGGGGAGGGGTGGCGCCGACAGATGGGCCCCACTTGTCATAGACTCAAAGGCACCGGTTTACTGTGGACTGAGTCCACGGGACCGCGGAGAGGAGCACCACGTGGCGCACATGTGGCGCCGACGTGGCGGCCACGTGGACGGCCACGCGGGCGGCAGGCGAACGGCCCCGATCTACTGAGCGATAGATCGGACGGCTGCAGCGGCTCGCGGCTGGGCAGTGCACGGGTGGCTCAAGCCGGCCCGGGCATGGCGTGCAGCGGCGCGGCACGGACATCGGCGGTGACTGGCGGCGCAAGACGGCGAGCGGCGGTATGCGGCGACGCGGCGGTGCGACAAAGAGAGAGAGAGGGAGAGGAAGGGAGGGAAACCGATCCTCACCGAGGGGCTCGGCCGGCGCGGGGGAGGAGCGACGGCGAACGGCGACGACGAGCGACGGGAGGACGACGGCGACGGGCGGACGAGCTCCGGGACCACCTAAGGAACAAAATGGGAGGGATTAGAGGGAGAAGGGTGGTCCACGGCGAGCGGATTCGCCGGCCAAAGGCGGAGGCAATGGTGGTGCTCACCGGCGCGCGAGAAGAACGGAGCTACGGCTACCATTTGTGTCAACCGAGCGTTGGACGGGGTAGCCCTCGCAACGGCGAAGCTAGTGGCGGTGGTTGCGCGGCGTGGTAACGACGCTAGCGGCGGCGGCGTGCGGCCGGAGAGTGGCGGCGGCGGCGGCGCTAGGGGAGAGCGGCGCGGCGGCGATAGAGGGCTCGGGAGAGTGCGGCGTCAAAAGGAAAAAGAGAGAGGGAGGTGCGGAGGTACTTAAATAGGAGCGGGGGGAGGCGAGTCGTGGCCGGGAGGGGCTCGATTTTGCTGGAGTTAGTGGGGATGTGGGGGAGGAGAGAGAGAGAGAGAGGCGGGATTCAAATTTGAATCCCGGCCATCTCGCGGGCGCGGGTGTGAGCGGGTGTGGGGCGTGGGCGCGGGGAAGGCGTGGCGCGTGGGGGAGTGGGCAACGTGGCCCGGGGCGGCGGTTGAGGAGGGAGGCCGCCCCTCCGGCTGGAGGTTAGGGGCGAACCCGACAGGTGGGCCCCACCTGTCGGCGCCCGGGAGGAGGTGGGGAGGCCGGATGGACTTCGGGGAGGGGGAGGAAAAGGAATGGGCCGGCGGCCCAAAAGGAAGAAAAGAGGGGGGGAAAAGGAAAAAGGGAAAAAGGAAAATAAAAGGATTTCCAGGGATTCTTTAATGCTTGTGCTCAATTTTAATTGGTTAAAATTATTTCCAAGGCTCTGAAAATTCCACTACAAATCTCGTTAGCATATTTTGACATGTAGAATCCAAGAAAAATTCCACATGCCGATTCCGATTATTATTTGCATTTATTAATTTGAGGAGTTAGCTCTAGGTTAAATTAAATCATTTCTTCGGACGATTTATTTTATGAATTTTAAAGCAAGGAGGGGAACTTCAGGGCGTGACACAGGAGGAGATGCTGGGAACTACAGCATCAGATGTTAACAGTTAACTTGAGGAATGGTAGACATCAAGAAAGGAGAGGCGTGGATCAATCGTCAGGAGAGTGTGGGGTCACCCAAACAAGGATGCGAGGTGTCAAACTTCAGTGCTGCAACATCCTATTGTCTCTCTGTCTCTTGTACCCACCTCCTCTTCTTCCTGCGTCCTGCACCATCCTCCTATGAGTTGTTCAGTGCCGTAAAAATATATACATTATCCTCCTGTTTGTCACAATTTCAGATTTAGGTTCTCTGTGTTATAGAAGATCTGTGTAATAATAATAAGTGTAATATAATGTGTGTGCCCTTTTTTGCCTATTGTTCTTGTATACTCTATAACCTTTCACCCGTCTCATGTAGCTAAAAAAAGCTTCATTCCTCCACGAAGTTAATACACATATTGACGCGTTCAACACAGGTGCAAACTATTAGTTGTTTGATAAATGATTCCATCGTCCATTATGCCCAAAACATGATTTATACATCATGTTTCGTGGTTATGAACGAACTGTAAGCAGGGGCGTTCCTACACTAAACTACTCGGGATCAGGTACCCGGGGTCACCGGACCAGTAGAATTTCCATCTCTAATCGTTTTAGCCTATATTAACTATATTGATACTTAAAATTTAAAAATTAGAGTATTATATGTATTATGATATGTAAGGAACCTCCGATAATTTTCATTGTGAGTTTCGCCACTAACTGTAAGGGCATAGCCTTGACATATAATTGGGATTTAGTAATATCATGTTTTTTCTCTAGTAGTGTCATGCCCTCTCACTAAATGGCGAAACCATATGGTATTTCCAACAAAATTTTGCCTCTAAAAGTAGTCACATTACACTATTGGTTATGAGAAATTTTACTGTTAGACACATTATCTCGAGGTACCTGTTGTATTTCCCAGGAAAGCTCACCATTTCTACCTACGTGCTGGATGCACCTACTCATGCTTCTGTTAGCTAACAGCCAGAGCAAACCAACAGGTCACCGTGTAGGCCGCCATGGGCTTGTGGACGCGGATACAGCCTGCATGCACGTGTAATTGTGGCCGTATTTTCCAGCTATACGCGTGAGTGCTTTCACCAGAACAAGTAACAACCAACGAGAGCATGATTATATAATTCCATCTATACATTTAAATTATTGAAGCGGCAGGGCATGGCAATTGGGTTTTAGGGATTTTTGTCCCCAGTGGTATTTTGATCATTAGAAAAAGATAAACAGTACAAACTGAGGATAACTGACGATGATAGAAGTTAAGCAAAAAGTGATGGCATATATTATAGAACAGTGGCATACTGTTAAACTAGACTAAAGTCAGTGGTATGTGGTATGTAGTAGATTCTCTCTAAAATTTTTGATATCTCTAATACAACTACCATGATACCTTCGGATGCCTTCTTAAGAATGGTAAGAGAAAACAAAAACCCCTTTTGGTTAAATGGGATCTCGCGACATACTTGCCTCCTCTATCAAATCTGGCATCATAAGACTTTAGTATTCAACTCGCTAGCTCAACTTAATATTTTTCTATGATCGCCTTAGTGCTCTCTTTCTCTCCACCAGTATATATAACATACTCTGTTGCCTCTTCTCTTCAGCCCTCCGCCAGGCGCCCTTCCACCTCATTTACAAACTACTGGGTCATACTTATCGAACAAATTCACGGAACGAAAGGGAAACTTTGCATAGCAAAACTCATGTAGATGCAAACAAATATTATTTTTCTGAAGCATAAAAATTCGTAACAACTCCCAGGAAATCTGGACTCCAACAACTATTGCCACAAAAAACTGGTATCTCCTGTTCTCTCCTTCTCTTCATCCCTTCAAAAGCTCAAGGTCACATAAGTTGCAAAATAAAAAGGAACACAATTAGTAAGCAACAAGACCAAATGTCATGCCACTAGTACACTGTAATAATTGTCATGCACTTGAAACAAAAATCTGCACTCCACGGAATTCTGTTCGTAATCAAACAAATAAAAGAATTGGGGTAATCAAGGAGGCAATATCAGCCTGATCATTTGTTTCTTGCAACTGAAGAACAAGTTCACAGAAATCACAAAAGTCATAACCCATGAGTATTCTTGTGAGCATCTGCCTACAAAATTGAATACTATTGATCAGTACCTCACATGCATTGCATCAAGTTAAGAATGTGCCATGTTGACACATGTTTTATAGTGGAATTGCTAGCTACAACTGATGATTTACTGTATACATAGCACATGTATACAGCTCAATAATACCGAAACTGAAAGTAACCCCGCAGGGGCTCTACCAATTTTCATGCCCTTTAGCCCTTACAATATTTCTGACAAATCCTCTAAAAGAATATGACCAATAAACTGCAATAGTCTGCTAGGCCACTACATTTGTAAAGTTCTGTACGACTGTAGATGTGCATCTGAAAAGCGTACATAGCTAGCACAACAGTCTGAACTTATATAAATTCAAGACATAATCCGAACTAGTCTGACCAAATATTTCTGAACATTTCAGAACTAATCTGAAAGAAAATTTCTGGAAATTTCTAAATTGCTAGCTAGCACAACATTGCTGAACATTTCTAAACCAATCTGAACAAATACAGTTTTCTTTGATGCAGGAAATCCACATCCAGATCAACTCAATGGAAAGCAATGCAGCTTAGAATGCAATCCAGTATGTTAAATCTTTCGGCCTCAAAAGCCAAGGTTCAGACCAAGATTATTCAATGATTATTCTCATTCTCAATCTCAGGCACTTTCTACTGATAATCATATGCTAACTGCAAATGAAAGTTATTGATTGCTCACCGATGAGGGAGAATGTTGGGGATGCGGCAAAGATGGACTACCTCGATTCGGCGCAGGTGCATTGGACGAGGGACCCTGATGCGGCGATCGATGAGGTGAGGGCTACGACCTACGACCTCGATGCGACTTGGGTGCTGCGGACGAGCGAGCGACCCCGATGCTGGAACGGTGCAGCGGACAAACCCGATATGGCGGTGCGAAGAGGCCGAAGGAGGTTGACGAGGCCGGCAGCCCGGCCTGGAGCAAGCTCCGATGCAGTGCCCAGGGAAGCAGCAGCAGGCTAGTTGGCCGTGGAGGCCTTGGCGGGTGGTGGATTCGGAGAGAGCGAGGAGATGAGAGGATCCACGAGATTGCGTGATGGCCAATTTTCTCCTGCGCTGGCTCTATTGGGAGTGTGGAACGGTGCCAAAATTTGGCTCGATTTGGCACCTGGATTAGGAATGCGGCAAAATTGGGAACCTGTTGGAGGCCTGGTTTTTATCTTAATTTCTAAATGAAGTTTTGGGACTGCTGTTAGCCATCTGTTGGAGATGCTCTAACTGCCATTCTTCAATGCAAAATACATTTCAAGTTCAGTTTCATATTCTTGCCATTTCCAACTTAAATCATTATCATAATACACGATAAAGCCATGCATGTTGTGCTCGTTGTGTGTTTGAATACCACCTATTACAAATGCTTTGTCACTACATATCTTCCACACTCACTTAGAACATTAAACTAATTGATCAATCGCACTACAGCACCACTGATCCTGGCAGACTTAATAATAATACCTAAAATGCCTTAAGAATGGTTCAAAAATGTTTTAAAATATCGAGAAGATGGCACTGATAGTTTTTTGAGAAACATAATTGCTGCACTCAAAGCGAATATAAGAAAAAAAGAACCAAAACATCATCCAAAAGATTCATGTCCTTTAAAATACCCTTCATGTATTATGCCTCCAAATTTTAAGACCTTTTAAACACATCCAAGCATGGCTATACTAAAACACGCACACGAAAAAATAACTAGTATGTTTATTTCAAAACAGAACCTAGATTCCTTTGGAGACAAAATTCAACCACATTACAGTTCTCTTCTAGTGTCAAAAAAAACTCAACCAGTTTGCTCAAATGATCATATGTTCAATTATTTTAGCAAGCGTGCACATACTAGAAGTCCTAAAAATTATATGGTTTTCAAGGCTGTGCTCTGTAAATCAGAATAGGCAGGTGAAAAATAACCACATTTTATTATTGTATTGAAACAGTACTGAAAAAACAGTGCACTTCATTTGGTAATCATGGCCGATTCTTTTGTTCAGTCCTCACTAATTCAGGACTTATTTACATATAGGTATTTCATAGCAAACAATTTAAGTTCTGATGAAATCAGGTAAAAAGTTGATATGTTTTAAAGAAGCCTTATATACTGTCTTTGAAAAGAGACAAAATAATGTTAGTGAATACCAAATTCAATTGTATTTTCTTCAAACATACATTTGACCAAAAAGATAAAATAATTATGCGATACATCCTACAATAAAGTACAAATGGTACTAATATGTAAAAAGCACAACAGCAAAAATCAAAGAACATGTACCTTGTAGATGTGCTCCAAGAGCAAAGTTGTCACAGGGAAGCTAGGGTGTCTTTCATTTCATTCACTGAAATTACTGTTTCACTGGGATATATTTTGGAAATCAATTTGAGGAAGGTTGCATATTTGTCAAGAAACTCCTTCTGTAAGAGCAAACAAAATATTTTTGTTATATGCAGGAATTAACATCCATTTGCTTGAACAGTACCAGTGACTGTATGCTGTTCATGATTAGGTGTTTGATTCGATTAGACATAAGAAATATTTAAGATAAGAAGTTAGAGAAAGGATTTGTCCTATTAATATTTTAGATAAGTTGTTGTATGCTAATCTGCTTGAAGTTGAACAATGAATTAATCTAATCAACTCCCAACATTCTCCATCTCTCAACTATCAAGTCTCAACTATATTTTTTCCCTTAACAAGACGGCATTGAATTTCATTTCCTTTGCATTGTAAACAGAATGCAAATAGTTTACCCATGTAGTTTACTATTTCAAGTGACATGAGAACATACCTTGCATTTATCCCATAGAGAAGGAAGTAATTCTTCAGCCGTAATATTCTTCTGTAGTTTTCTATACATTGCATTGATTGTCTTGTCAAGCTGTTGTGAAATGAAACAGGGACGTGCAGAGACAGATATGAGGCTGTAGTAAAAGAAAATTTCAAAAAAAAAAAAAAACATGAGAAAGGGGAAAAATGATTATATTGTTTACTTACACCACTTAAGCTGGACTTCAACATCTTACGGAAGTCTACCTTCGACATTCCAACTTGGAAAGGTATCTGTATAATAATGTAATATGAAGCATCCATAAAAAAATTAGGCATCACAGTATGCTAATATAACAAAAATCATGGAGAACTAGTCCCCTGTTTTTTAAATTTCAATGCATAAAACTATGAAAAATGTATGTAATTAATGGAATAGAAGTGTATCTGGCCAAACAAATCTAAGGGGCATTTTGCACATATGAGTGTTCATCCTATTATAGATCTTGAAAAAATAAAAATAAGAAATTCATATGTTCATCACCATCAATATTTCGGTGGTATTATTTCAACAAAAGACGGCTTAAGTATTTGGTCATCTCATCTAATTATCTTGAATCCTCTGCCAGAACAGGTATCTGCTTCAAACTTCAAGAAATGGACCATAGTCCGAAAAAGGATCAATATTGTGGGTGCACTGTCCCGAAGAAGATAATAACTCAATGATATCGCCTTTGAAACTGAAATGCACAACCAAATGTGATGGGTTACCTCCTCAGGGCTCATGTTGTACATTAGTTCCTCAATTTTCCGAGCAAACTGGAATAATTTTTCGAAGTGCTGTAAAAGAAATATTTTAGTGGTGACAGAATAAAATAAATGGCACTACCAAAAATCTGAACCATGAGGATATACAGATGACTTACGATATATATGACTAAATTGATGTGGCGTGAGCAAGCTTGTTCATAAGCTTCACTAGCTTGGTGATAATACTTAGCAAGTGTTGGTACAACATTTGCTAAATCGTACAGACTGCATATCATACAACATGTACCAAGTTAATGTGAGTAGTACAGGCCACTAGGTCCTCGTAAGTATAGCAAATTCTGTTGGGTAGAGTTTTTTTTCGGCCTTCAAAAAACATTCATCAAAGTCGAAGTTTCACCCTAAACTACAAAGTAGGTAATTTTTCACCCTAAACTTTAAAAACCAGACAAACTTCGTCCCGTGATGGTTTTTTTGTGGTGGTTTTAGCAATCTTAAGAGTAGCATTGCTATTTTTTCCTAACTTGATATTGCATCACATATCATATGTTCTGTATCATTTTTCCTCTTTGCATCTCCCTCTTTCAACACTGTACTGTGTGAGGAAATGAGAGGAAAAAATGTGGCATGTGGAGTCACAGTCAGTGGCCACGATAGCATTAAATCGTGTTGCCACTTTAGACATAGTTCAAACCACCATTAAAATTAGTCTCCAGGTGAAGTTTGCGGTATTGAAAGTTTAGGGTGACATATAAGTGTTTCATAGATGAGGGTGAAAATTAGACTTCACTGAGAGTTCGAGGGTAAAAGATGAAGTTTACCCAACTCTGGTAAACTACACCTGAAACAGGAGAACAAAGAGAATAAGAAATAGAATAAACCTGTGCTGGAAAGCTGCATAATTCTCCAATAGTACAATGTCAACATATTTAGGTTCCACTTGAGCAATTTTCTCGAGGGTCACAAACATAATGGTCACCTGTTCAGAAAAAAAAATTTAATGACTAAAATAGGGTTATGATTATATTTAACTTTCATAAAAAAAAAGTCACAGAACACTGAGATCTGCGTAAAGAAGAAATTCATAGAATTTATTAAAAGTATTTGTTGGAATTATTTTTCATAATAGTCAGTGGCTAACCATGTAACTGAGGTCATACAAAAGGTACTTATTTGAGAACAAACAAATGATCCAGTCTACAAAGTCTTACAATTTTTGTATAGGCCTGATCAACTAGATCCCTGGATCCATTTATATACTGCTCCATACGTGCTGCAAGTTGTGAGAACCTATATAATATGAAATAATGAGACTAAATTAATATCCATCAAGCCTGGACTATGCACATTACATAAACACCACAGTGGATTATTCTATTGTGCATATAATATGAAACCATAACAATGGACCTCGGAATATAGGGTACAACTCCAATTTGCCGCACATTGCGCTCATACTTCTCAATCTGGTAGCAGGCATCATCAACAAACTGAGCTGGCCAAGAAAATGAACTAGTAAGGAATAAATTAAGTGTTCCAATTTTGGAAAAAATGAAACAACTAGTGCTAGAGTCAGACCCTGCTAAATAAAATGGATATTCTAGTCTCCAAGTCATCTAGCAAAACATGCACATATCCTGCAACCTCTGCCTTCTGACCAGAAAGATAGCGATCTGTTATGCCATGCATTGATATACAACTCAATGGATCTAGCTTGAATGCCCAGTCAACTATAGCATAGAAGTCCTCCTGAAAAATATAAGATACAAAACATGTGAACTTGTGAAGCCCCATTTCCTATCACAGCGATTTCATTTTATCATTTCAACAGTTCATATAGTAGGATAACTGTCCAATTTACAAAGGGAAATGCCAAAAATATCAACCTGAATACCATCAAGCAACTCTTGAAGGAATTGGTTTAGTACTCCCAACTCAGCTGAACTGTTAACTGGAAAAAAGATAAGATGTTAAATTTACATCACACTGAAAGCAAGAAGAATTAAAGCATGCAAGGAGCACTATTAGTTTAACAGTTGGTGGTTTATATTACTTGGTTTGGCACTGCTTCCAGGAGGTTCTGAAACAGCAACAGGATTATTGTTATCTGATTCATCTGACGGAGCTAGCGCAGCAACATCAAAGCACATAAAATGTGCAAAGAATGAGCTCTACATCATAGATATCCATCAAGAGAAAATTGAATTGTAAACAAAACTGCATTTTGCACTGTAAAATTCACAAAAATTGCATCAGACAAATGAAACCTCGTCAACAAGCAGTGGAATGAAAACCGTAATCATTTTGCAGTATGCGTCTGCAGTAGTATCGGTAATACTAATCGACTGGTTTGCACTTGCAGGACCCTCAAATAATGGTGTACTGCTCTTCGATGCCTTTGAACCAGCACGGAGTTCACTGGAGAACTCACGAGCCTGCATAAAAGAGATGCACGTGTTATTTCCAGATTTTGTATTGCTTATTTCCAGATTTTGTATTGCTGCATAACTTGTTATGTGCTTGTAGAAAAACTAAAGCCGATTTATGAATTATTTTTCTGTACATATACATTCGCATGGCATAAAAAAAAGTCAATTTTCATTATTAAATTGGCACGGCAGTCTTAGCTGCACTGCTGCAGTACCTGACAGAGTTCTGTTGGGACGGCAACATGACCGACCCCAACATTACACTGGTAAGTTTTGCGTCGCCAAAAGAGGCAGTAGAAGATTGATGTTACGGGCTCTGTGACATGTGGTCAGCATAATTGAAACTGGACAAGACCGACGCTTCAACCAAAAAAAAGGGAAACAGCGCCTGCCACTGTCCGGTTGCAAACAAATACTGGACATGCATGCAGTTTAATTCCCAGTTCACTAAAAAATCAGCCGGTTTAATAATCAATTAATCCAAGGAGTTGGCCCAATTAACCCAAGGAGCTATAGAGTGTACAGTTCATAGTACCATGGACAAAAGATTCCATTCATTATCTCTCCCATGCACCCATTTATTCTGCATAGGTCCATAGTTCCATACTAGATGCCACAAAAGAGGCTATGAACTATGCATGCTAAATGTAATAAGCTTGCAGACATGGAATGAGGACGAAAATGTAGGTTAACTGAAGATTTTCTGGTTGAAATGTGTGGTTTTATATGTTGGTGCAACTTGTTCAACTAGCAAGTTGGTACTATCTACCATATATTCATGCTGTCATCATGCATATAAAGCACATACTCCAATGAACCACAACTGTGCTCAATCCATAATAGGTTGGGTCTAACGCCATGCCATAACATATATCATGATAATTGAAAAAAGGTTTTGAAGAATTGTACCTCCCGTCGAATTAACAAGTTAAGAGAATGGCAGTAAGATTTCCGTAAAGGCATCAAACAGCTCTTGTCCAGGTTCTAGAAAAAAATTATAATATAAAGCATGAGAATATGGTGCAAAATTTCACATATTGTAGCCATAACAGTACTGTTTGTAAAATAGTATCGTTTTTCACAACAGGACAACTTGCATGTAACCTTGATGAACTGTAGAAGTCGGGCATATGTCCTGCATTTGTACCTCATATCAGCATGGTCAGGCCTCTGGAGTTGCCCTCTCTGAAAGCAAAAGGAATTATGTTGAGAAAAATGATCCGGTTAAAGTTAAATAATCTGCAATTACTAGACTAAATTTACCTGTGAGAAGTTGCCTTTGTCATTTAGCATAAAATCAATCAAACTGGGAAAGTAATTCCTTAAAAACTCGGATGCCCTCCGCACAAATGTGCACTTTAGAAGTACAAATTCTGCACGTTTCTCCCTTACCTGAATGAATTTCAGTGGACATTGAATATTATGCTATTAGCTGAGTCAAATTATTGTTTTGACAGTATCAAAAACTATATATATATTTCACACCTATTGAGGTGTGAAATAAACCCCCCTCAATCCCCTCCCATCCCTTCCTCTTGGGGATTAACCGAACAATCCTTTGTGTAAAACTGAGGTACCATGGATTGATTAATAATTGGCACACGCTCATGTTGACAGTGCGTGCAATAACTGGTAAATCAAGTTGGATGTTAACCAGAACGAAGGAACCAAATGATTGGATTGTTAACGAAGAATTGGTAAACACTTCCTCCAAACCATCCGAAATAATCAATACAAAAATGCCATCGGACAGCCACACCTGCTGCACCTCCCCTTGGCTGGTTAAAGGCGCATAGATATGCAGACAGGGAGTGCAGTTGCAATTCATACCTCTCCTTTTTACGACCTCAAACTGGAGAATCTTCTCAAAAATGTCAGCTTAATATAAAGTCATTATAATTACTCTCTCCAATAGTCCAATTCCAAGAGTAAATCATTTTAAACTTTTCACTCTTCTATAAATATTAGTAGCTGCAGTAATTTGATGCACCTGACCCTCCTCTTGTATCCCTTGCTAATTTCATGGTATCCCCCATTAATAAATGAAGTATCATTTTCAAACTACAGGACAAGGTCATTCATTTTCTTAATTCATGTACCCATATCTAAAAGATTAGGGGATTAATATTTGGCATGGGTGTCTTAAGGGAAAAAATAGCAAGTATACTATCAACAAGGTTAAATATGATAAAAGGAAAAGAGAGAGCATACAGCACGCAATTTCACGTATATGGGATCCAGATTCGATGCTTCTAGGTTCTTTATAGCACTGGTCAACCACTCACAAGCTTCAATGTTCTTAACCATGTTGCCTTCATCGAATGAACCTCCAGTTAAAGATGCCTCATACTACAATGCAATATATAACATAAATATCATAATTTCAAATCATCTAGGGAAATAGAATATAAATAAGCTAAAAGGTAATGAACCTCAGGTGGTATTTGCAGGAGCACGAGCATTTTGTCAAGCTCATCAATCAATGCCACATTACTATCAGATTGTAGCTCTAACTTGTTATTACGCCATTCTATCTGCAAAACCAAAGACAGCAATTAGTTAAATTCAACATTAAGGTGACCAAAGCAACATAGGCTGGTTTTGATACATCCTGAATTTGATCTGCATTACTGAAATGCATGAATTTGTTCTGGATCATTAAGCAGCAGTAGCATGCTTTGGAGAAATAGTTTTAAACAAAACGTAGTTGCATTGAAAAACTTAGCTGGTTTGGAAAAGCAGGAAAACTATTGTTTTTTAGCAGTCTCATGGCTGAATATAACATTAGAACTTCAATGATCACATATAAGTGTGAGAGAGAAGCATATGTGAACCTTAAACATCCTAACGGTTAAAATGGCATAGGTTGTAGAGTGAAAGTATTGAGAATTACATACTTTATCTAGTGAGAACAAGAATTGCAAATATTTTGAATAACCTCCATTTTAGATTAATCTGTTTAGACAATCTTAAAATGTGCTTTCATTTCAGAACTGTCTGAAAGAAGATGATAGAGAAATTGAAGAAGACACTTCGGAAATATGGATTCAGAAGTAAACGGAAACGTACAGATTGTATATCCTCTCTCATATGCCTAAGCTTTACATTGAAAATACCAAGCCATTCATCAAAATCTTCAACACATATACTAGCTATTTCTAAGCCCTCCAATACCTGCATATCTCAAATTTACAGCTGTTAACATTTGGATTGTTTGATGGAAAAAATAATAACATGTATAACCAATTAAAGCCAGGTCCAGATACAAAAAAAAAAATCAGATAACTTAAAGCGATTAATAAGAATATATATACTGATCTGTCAAGAAGTTTATTCACAGGGTGAAGTATCTGTTAGGTTTTAGCAGTTATTTTTCTTGCGCACTTTGCACTAGTATAAAAATGCTGAGACAGGCCATTGGGATATGGATCTTCCATGCATACAAAATGAATATGTATAATTTCTAGCAAACAAGACCATGGTGTTGCACTAGCATCAAGGTAAGCCTAATTAGAATCAGGGTTTTAAATCTCCCGCTACAGCTGTTTGAGAAGGATTCTAGCTATTTGTTCTCATATACAATTTAGCTGCTATAGCTCCATTTAGCCCGCTATAGCTGTTTGAGAAGCTAACTGCTAAACGTCTTAGCCCGTTATTTAAAACATTGATTTAGAATGCTGCATTACCTGATGGGAACTTGCTTTTCAAGACATTCAGGTCTAATTAATTTTTAGCATCTCTTCTGATGAGACAATTGAAAAGCATCACAAATGATTGTACGGGTAACATTACAATGTCTATGTGATAGTTAAGCTGACTCCTAACAAGGGGCAAGCAGAGAAGCAAAAGAGTGTTCAATAAGCAAACACTTTTGAGTATGCCCATCATAATGCAAGATACAGAAGAATGCGCAAAATGATATGGACACAATATTCAATAATGCAAAAGGTGAGCTATTGCATTGATAACGGACATAAAAGCAGGAATAGTAATTCTGCAATTGGTTTCCACCAAAATGACACTGCATTTGACAGAGCACAGAAATGGTTGGATTGTTGCCTACCTCTTCTATCACGGTTTCAGTTTCCATAAGTGCATAAACATTTGCAGATTCAAGTGCCACGAGTTCACGCTTCATTCGTTCTGAAAATGCCTCTGCTTCACCAATGGCCATGATATACCTGTACGAGAAAAAATACCAGTGTCATTACCATCTTCTTACCTGAAAAGACAGATATCTGCATTCCGACAGCAGTGAACATATGTCTAAACCTTTTCACTAGCGATTCAGTAACTTACGTGTCAAGGAGAGCCTCAGTATCCTCATCTTCCGTCTGTAAGACCAAGTCTTTCTGAATGGCAACTTGCGAGTCAGCCTCTCCTACTAGTGATTCGATGGGTCCATCTTTCGTGCTCACTTGAGTAACCTTTACTGTGGTATTATCCTGCAATATGATTGAAAGCTGATGGTTAACACATGCAAATAAACATGGGAGCCTATTAGTTGAAAATGCAACATCCTTTGGCAAACATATATCGTAGCACAATCAAACTGTCAGAGCATGTAACAAGGATAAAACCAGTGCAACTTTAACATGAAGTTTATTGATTATGTGTCCTGGATAGCAGGCATTAATGCTCACCCCACATTTGTTTCTCTACCATAAAATTCTACCGGTAAAACCTTAGTGCTGAAAACAACATTCGAAAAAATATATATATAAACTATAAATATACCACTACGAACCGAGGTGAAAATAAAATTTCGACAATGCAAAACAGCTTTGCCACAAAATCCGTCCGCAAGCAAATCTCATGTAGCAAACGATTCCATCCATTGCTCTGCTCTAGTGGGCATTTCGTCGAACAGCTTCCAGGCAACAACCGCGCCGGGCGGGCGCAACATGGGTCGGCTGTTCAAGAGGCTTCCGGCGAGCGTCGTGCCTTCGATGGACGAGCGTCGTGCCTTCGATGGATCCGGTCCCGAGGTGGGGGACGGGGGGAGCTCTTCCGCATCCGCATGACAACGGCGCCGCCGCCCAAGCGCTTGTCCCTCCCCGGCAGGTGGGCGCTCGCTGCCATTGCTTGCTGCTGCGTGGGTGGGATTTGACTGGAATGGCGGGAGACACGGGAGCATCTGGCAAGCCAGATGAAATTGGAATTCGGCGCCACAGATCCCTTGCGAACCTTGAAAACCTCACTTTTCTCGTTGCTACTTCCGAGTTTTGGCTTAAATTTATTTCCCTTCGCGATTTCCTTTTTGTTTTGTTCGTTGCCACTGAAAATGGGGCGGGTATTTTCCGATCCCCTGCCCGGCCCAAGCCTCATATGGAAAAAAACCGATACTATTCGAGTTCCGAATTTATTAGAACAATATGGATTATAATATAGACGTGACTACATCAATGCGTGGTAACACATTAGCACTAACCAGCGAACCACTTTATTTCTAAAAAAAAAACGGTCTTTCCCCTACACACGTGTTGCCTTTTCGGAAAAGGAATCGTGCATTTGAGCACCCACCAAGCGCGATACACCATCATATCATGTGCCTCCATGGTTGCTACTGGTGCATGTTTTTTTTCTTATTATATTATTTTCTCTTAAATTACTTATCGGATCTATAATCCAACTGTATACTGCAAATAAATCTTTACAACAAGATTTTACATGATTATATTCTGATAAAAAATATCTATGTAGTAAATTACTTTTATTATATATTATATATGTAAGCTACTTTTATCATATACACAAATTACTTTTAAACCTCTTAATAACTTATATCTTTTAAATCACGTATTATTTTTAAGATCTATTTACATTATTGTATATGTGACAAAACAAGATCCATATTGAATATATTCAAACATATTAATATAAAAGTAATTTATTTAAATTGTAGAAGTAATTTAACCATTCAATAGAGGTAACTATCTGTAGTAGAAGTAATTACATTCTGACTAGGTTAAAATAAGAAACAATATAGAGTAGAGTCACAAGTAAAGTGTAGAGAAGATTTTTAAGTAAATGTATTTATGAAAGAAATTTTAATAAATTTTAAAAGTAATTTACATAAATCATAAAAGTAACTTAGTATAAAATGGAAGTAAGTTTTTCAAAGATACGAATAAGAGAATTCGTTGCAGGGCGAAAAATATGGTCTATCTAAAAATAAATTTAAAGTCCATAAATTATAGAATTGACTAAAAATAACAATAAAACTAGTCAACTTAGAGCATATGTATAAAAAGTAATTTAGTCAAATCTAAAAGTAATTTATATATATGATAAAACTAACCTACGTATATAATAAAAGTAATTACAAATATAAATATCTTTTTATCGTAATATAATCATGTAAGATCTAGTTGTGAAGATTTAATTGCAACAAACACAATGGCGTAATCGGATTGTAAATCGCATACGTAATTTAAGAGAAAACTTTATAAGAGCGAGAAAAAGACATCCATGTCTAATAGGAAAAAAAAGCATGCATGTGTAGTAGGCTTCTTCACTACTCCCACGATCGAACGACTATGAAGCAGCGTGCACAATCAGATGAATCAAAGCAGTGTCGCGCAATAAGACAATATTGAGAGGCCTCGCCGATTAGTTTCTGCGTTAGGATATGTATGAAAATTTATTATAAATCCACCTAAAAGTATGATAAATGATTGGTTAATTATTATTTTACGTGCTCACATGTAATATTATATAATTTTTTCTTGATGTATCTCTTTTAATACTTTAATTTCCTTACTATATTTAATATCTATAAATTAGAGATACAAATTAATATGTTCCCGAATACGATTCGAAGGAAATAATATGTGATATGATACGGGATGAGGAATATGTTATCCGGTACTACCTATACCTTGGCTCCGAATTTAAAAGACAATATGAGTTAGGATATGAGAATGTTATAATCCGACCGTACCCACCCATTTAAAAGACAATATGAGTTAGGATATGAGATGCCCGCTTACGAGTTAGGCTTTTGGTTGGCTTTGGAGGATTCTAAGGGCCCATTTGAATGAAATTTCAGTGCCTAAAAAGTGTTGCTTCTATGAGTAGCATTCTTATGCTGAGTTAGTTAGTTGCAGTTGGGAACTAATCTCATGCACACGTAAAACGGAGTAACTCACAAGCACATGATTAATTAAGTATTAGCTAATTTTTAAATAGTTGGATTAATATGAATTTTTAAAGCAATTTTCGCATAGAAAGTTTTTTAAAAAACCACACTATTTGGCAGTTTAAAAAGCGTTAAACGAGAGAGTTGAACTGGGAAAGGTAACAAACAAACACAGCCTAGCATCTGACAGAATGAGGACCGTGTGTTTTGTGCCTATTTTTTCAAGTTATTAGCACGAGCATATATATAAAAAAGACACATATATGAAACGGTGGTGATCGACCAGACCTTTGCCCACATAGCCATCTCCACAACGTCCATGCCAACAACCTTTGGAATGGCACCGTATATCTCCTTGCACATGTTGAGGATGCACATGAGGAAGCGGTTCCTGCAACAATTGTTAACCTGAGATGACGAAGAGGATTGATACTGAAGATAATCCTGTACTACGTATACAGAGTGCAGCAGATTGAAGTGATGTTAATTTCATCGCCTGTCCCGTCGTCTATTAATTACCTGTCGTCCTTGTTGCGCATCGTCCATTGGGGAGGCGACACGCTCTGGCTCCGGAGGTTATCAAACCCCTAATAATACACACGAAATGGAAAATTAAATAACATGGTTCAGGTAGATGTGGGATATACATACATATATATATATATATTTTTACCCACATGTATTTGTTTCTCTTTTTCTGAGTACTGAAAAATATATATGTATATGTGCCAGGTTAATTTTGTCAGATTAACAGCTAAAGAGTGATTGATTCGGATCGATGAAGGTTAAAGAAATCAATTAACTGTGTTAATAAATTTATTTACCAGGAGGAATGTGCAGCCGCTGGGATCGTTGGGGACGACCTCCACCTTGGAGAGGTGCTTCATCTTGTACACCTTGGCAGGCTGCGTGCATCCATCCATCCATGGATCAATATTCAGATAATCGAATCAACCATGGATCATCTGGACAGGAAGGATGTCTGAAAAGGAAATTAAGAAGTGTACCTCGAGGACGCCGCCATTGGAGTACTTGAGGACCCGGACGAACGCCTTGGTGCGCTGCCCTTTCTTCTTGGCTGCAGGAGAAAATCGATGGATATGGATGGATGGGATGAGAAATCGAAGCAGAGAGAGAGAGAGAGATAGAGGGCGGAGGAGAATGTATTTACTGGTGACGGCGAGGACGCGGGGCTTGGCCATGTGGCGGGAGGCGAGCTTGCCGGCCTTGCCCCAGACGCCGCGGCCCTTGGCGACGCGCATCGACATCACCACCGTCTCCCGGTCCTTCTCCTTGCTCAGGATCCCGGCCTCGCACGACCGCTTCAGCTCCATGTCGTCCGCGCTCGACCGCGCCATGGCCCTCGCCCCCAATCGATCGAATCACCGATCTCGCCGTACGTCGCCGGCCGGCCGCTGCGTGCGTACGGTGTCCGAAGAGAGCGCGAGTGCAGTGACCGATCGATGTGGGAATGGAATGGAATGTGGAATTGGAAAATGGATTGGATTTTAATTTGTGTGGGATTAATATTTGGATCTCGTCGATCGAACGTTGCGGTTTTTTCTCCTTTGTAACAAACTGATTCGACTGTGTAAAAGGGGTGCTTTTCGTTCGTGGCGAGTTGCGCGCGACCTTTTCGCTTTGGATCGTCGTTGTCCTATTTCTGGCAGTGATGACCAAAGAGGCTGGGTGAGAATGTGAGGCCTGTTTCGACAGACGATGAAACTGCTTTGGAATAAGTTCACTTTGGCTCCCTTAAATATGTGTTTAATCTAATTAATATTTCTCAACCACAATACCAGATATCGACCCTTAAAACCGGTGTAGAATGACTATCTTGTTGGTTTTAAAGGTGGTTCTCGATGACATGCCTAAGTGACGTGGCCTAATCAGCTGAGTCACTTTTATGTGGGACCCATATATCAGCGTGATTATTTTCTTTTCTTTTCTTTCTCGTCCTCTCTTCGTCGAACAGGCTCTCCTTCCCGTCCGGCCTCATCGCCCGAGCCGTTACCACGCGCAGACGCGCTGCAGAGGTCGCCGGCGCTGGAGTCGGGCCCATGAACTCCCCCATCACGGCGGTGAGCGGCGGCCCGATGAGCAGTCCGTCGACGCCAAAGTGCAGCCCGCCTCGCGTGTAATCGAACAGTGCGTCAGTGCCGCCCCGCTCCCGCCCACCTTGGGCAGCTCCACCACCGGCGCCGCCTCCGGGTCCGGCAAGTAGAAGAGGAAGGCGTCAAGCGTATCGTAGTAGTCGTCCATGCTGCGGTACCCCTCCGGTATATGAACCCGTCGAACCTGACCACGCCGCCGCCGGCGGCGGCAGCCATGCTGCCAACGACGACGCAGGGCCCCTTGAGGCATTGATCTCACATGCAAATCGATGGATCAAATATTGCAGATGCATCACCCTATTACATATACAGTGCCAATGATGAGAGTCTGAAGTTACTAACTTGGACAACGATTTCGCAGCGCGCGAGAGAGCCAAGCCTGAAATTTTCGTCGCTGGAAGAACAGTGTTATCGTTTCCCTTTTGGCAGGGGTAATGATCTGGTACATGGTAACAGTACTGTCACTACTACTTCTGCTGGGTTTCGTGCGCGTTGCTGTTGCCATTGTGTCAGGAGTAGATTAGGGACGGGCGGTCACCTTGTGATTGAGTGTGCAGTGCGACAGGGGTGGTTTGCTGCCGTCGTTGATCCTTGCTGGTCGTGTTTCGCTGCTACTGGTCCGTGCGACTTCAACAAGGAGCCCTGTGTTGTCGTCGGCAGCATGCTGGGATTCGCTGCCGTCGGCGGCGCCGCGGCGGTGGGGTCAGGTTCGACGGGTTCAGCCCGGAGGGTTTGGCGTCGACGGACTGCTCATCGGGCCGCCACTCACTGCCGTGATGGGGGAATTCATGGGGCCCGACTCCAGCGCCGGCGCCGGCGACCTCCGTAACGCGCGATAGCGGCTCGGGCGGTTGTACGCGAGGAGACCAGACGGGAAGAAGAGCCTCTCGCGGCGAGAGGACGAGGAAAAAAAGAAGAAAAGAAAATACTCACGCTGACATGTGGGTCCCACATACCGACTCAACAAGTTAGGCCGTCACTAAGCCACATCAGCGAAAACCACCGAGGTATTATAATTGAAGGATATGAATCAGATTGTACATGTATTAAAGGGAATCAAAGTGAACTTATTTTATCTGCTTGTGCAGCTCGCGTTGTTCTGCTGCTTCTAATTGGGCCTTTATATTGGTCCGCTGGATTAAGTCAAGTTAATGTTCTATATATTTTTGGAATAAGTTCACATGAGGTCCCTTAACTTGTCAATGAATCCGATTTTCGTCCTTCAACTGGAAAACCAGATACAACGGATCCCTCTGTCAAAACCGGTGCAATATAAGTACCATGGAGGTTTGGACAACTGTTTTAGCTGACATGGCGCCTACGTGGCTAATTTGACTCGGTTTTTATCTGACGTGGCATATGAGGCAAAATTTAGCAATTTAAAAATTAAAACAAAATATGTAAGCAATTATGTCAGTCAGCTAATAAGATTAAAATTAGTGGGACCCACATGTCAGTGGGCCCCACTTCCTCCACCTCATCCCCTGTCTTCTCAATCTCCTCCCTTCTTCCCCTTCTTGTTAGAATAGGTGTCGAATACATTAGTCATATTTTGTTATAGTTAGATTTGGAGTTGTAATAGGTGGTAGAGGGTGGAGTTAGAGTCGAACTCTGTAACCCAGCAACTCTCTTAAATAGAGAAGGGGACACTACAATGTAACCATGACGACTACAATGTAGCGTAGACACGTAGGGAGAAGATAGCGGCGTGGCCATGGACTCGTAGCGGCTAGGTGCTATATTGATTGGGGAGAAGCGCCCATAATCAGAGCTCCGGAGATGTAGTCTTCGGCTGAACTTCATTAACAAATATCGTGTGTTCCTGTGTCGTTATTTGGTATGTCTTAGGTGATCAATGATTGAAGCGATCGAGAAGGTTAGTTGTTGTTCCGCTATATCGACTAACTTTTGTAACACTTCCTCCCAAGACGTACATCACCATCATTCTATTTTAAGGTGTGTGGTGATCCTCACCTCTCATGGACCAGAAAATACGAGTCCATCAAAGATGAGTGGAGTCATCAATGACCATTTGTCTTTGACAAAATCCAAATCCGTCAAAGGTGAGGGTTTGAGTTCGTTAGAGATAGCTAATCTGGCGTAGCAATATATCTAATTCTATCATAGATGTCTTGGTTAATACGCACGGCGAGAAGTTGGAAAACTCAATTTCCGATTACACGGCTTGGTTAATACGTACGGCGAGAACTCTTACATGACCAGGTCTTACATGGTCGTTTGTCTCTACATGATCCGACAAGGCCTTATCCGCTCTGGGCGTCCCCAGCCAAAGTTCCCTTAGGTTCCTCAGAGGCCTTGTCAAGACGGCGTAAAGGGACAGTAGGATTGGTTTCAACTCTAGGTGTCGTCGTGGTAAGGGATCTCTGGGTAAAACACTTGGCGATATTGTGTACTTGATGTCAACTTTGTTGGAGTAGAGGTAATGAGAGGATCGCTACACCGCTGGTCGAAAACCAGTTGTAGCCCCAACTCAACCACTTGAAGTAAAGGTAGTGGGAGAATCGCTACACCACTGGTCGAGGACCAGGTAGTAGTCGTAACTCGACCACTTAAAGTGAAAATAGTGGGAGAATCGCTACACCTCTGGTCGAGGACCAGGTAGTAGTCTTAACTCGACCACTTAAAGTGGAAATAGTGGGATAATCGCTACACCTCTGGTCGAGGACCAGGTAGTAATCTTAACTCGACCACTTAAAGTGGAAATAGTGGGAGAATCGCTACACTTCTGGTCGAGGACCAGGTAGTAGTCTTAACTCGACCACTTGAAGTAAATGTACGAGAGATCGCTACGATTGACTGGTTGAGAACCAGTGAGTAGGTGTCTCTCGACCATTTGAAGTTGTGGTACGAGGGCCGCTATGCTGCCGGTCGAAGACCAGTCGTAGCTGTTCCTCAACCATCTGAAGTCATCTGAAGTCGTGGTGCGAGGACCGCTACACTATTGCCGTAGTCGTACCTCAACCATCTGAAGCTAAGGCGCGAGAGATTGCTACAATTTACTGGTTCGAGAACTAGCGAGTAGAATTATCTCTTGAACGCCAATGGAAGTTGCGGTGCGAGAGATTGCTACGATTTACTAGTTTGAGAACCAGCGAGCGAGTAGAATTATCTCTCGAACACCAATGGAGGTTGCGGTGCGAGAGATTGCTACGATCTACTGGTTTGAGAACTAGCGAGCGAGTAGAATTGTCTCTCGAATACCAATGGAGGTTGTGGTGCGAGAGATTGCTACCTTTTACTGGTTTGAGAACTAGCGAGTAGAATTATCTCTCGAACACCAATGGAAGTGCTAAAGTTGGTTTATTACATGTGCATCTCATGTGGCCAGCATGACTCACATACCCAACTTGTAGCATATCCGGATGTCCGTCCGCAATCATGTCGGGTGATCAAGCCCATATCGTTCGCGAGCAATTATCCGTTAACAACCATTTTCTCAAGTAGTCCAGCCATGGCCGGTGCTATGAGATAGGTCGTCGGTCTTCGTTGGCAGGTTGGGCGCGACGACTTTGCATTTGTCGAGATCGTTCTCGATAATGGGGTTACTCGACCACAACCTACTCGAGTGCTCAATTGTTTCTGAAAAATATTTCTAGAAGGCAAGACATATAGCAGATAATATCGAGTATGTACTCAGAAAACTGCATGAATTTTCTAGCATTATCAGGATATAACGAGCATATGAAATATCAGGCGTTATGTAAACCGTAAACAAGCATGATTTATACAGAAGAAAATAGAGCAAGCCCCTAGCATTAAACCGTAGTCGGTATAACATCATGAACACTCGCACAGCAGATATTGTATAAAAAACATGCTGTAGGTAAACATAAAAAATTATTGATCTGATAATGTTGTATAATCTAGAAATAGGCACGACAAATTGCATATAAAATATTGCGTACATGTATCTACGAAATTAGTAGATTAATAAAAAATCAATCTCCTAATTACCTTGCTGCGTACTCGTTCGATATCATGTGATCTGACATCTTTTGGTATGCCACGGAGCTTGAGGCTTGAATGATCTCGATAGACCAAGTTGTTGACGATGATGGTTCCGATCTTGTCAGGGCACGTACTCCGGTCAGGTTAGATCCTCCATAGCCGAAGTTATCGAGTAGTATATTGTCGGAGAATCCATCTCTTAAACCCATCCCGTCGAAACCTTGAAGCACCAAAAGATCCCCTACCTGGCGCGCCACTGTCGACGTTTGATGTCGCAATTCTGGTATTTGCATAGTATGGGGATCGTTGGTACTAGGATATACGTGAGACTTAGGTAAAAGAGACGGAGACGAGGATTTTTATACAGGTTCGGGCTCCTGAATTGTCAGGTAATAACCCTACATCCTGTTGGCCGAAACCGGTCGTTGCTCTTATTCACCATAATCACACCAATACAATATTTGGGGTAGCCTATCTAACTATTGTTAACTGGTCTGAAGGTCTGACTCGTAGTCGACAACAGGGTAGCCTTCCTCCTCGAATTCGCATCCGGCGAGATCAGAGACAGCGCTATATCTCTCCTGACGGTATCCGTAGGCACCGTAGGGGACTAGCCATGCCTATCTCTGAAGTCAATATCCGGCGCCTTGTCTTGGCGTATGTTGGCTTGTATGTTGTGGCTTCTGTTGTTCCGTGTCCCCTCTCCTCTTAGGGACCTTGTATTTATACCCATAGGTGTCCTCTTGTCCAAGTAGAACTAGGGAAACCAATATGAATACAATCCGAGTAGTCCTTGTCGTTTCTATGTAGAACTATGGTTGTCTTTCCTTATCCGGAACTTCATCCATATCCGAGGTCAGTGTCCGTATAAGACATAGTATGTAGTGGGTCCTGCCAAGATTTAGTCAACTACTATTAGGTATGTGGTATGCATAACCCTGACAGATGTGGTTGCTAGCAACTACATGTATTTTAGAACTTCTTTTTTTTTTTAGAAAATCCAAGAAATCAATTGACAAGCATCCAATTTCAAGAAATGTCATCGACAAGTGTGAGTTCTTGAATACCATCGTACAAGCGAATTTTTTCAAAAAAATACCATCACCGTTAAGTTTCCGTTAGCAACCCTTCGTTAAGTGCTATAGGATGAAATTGTATTTAACGGCACGGGATAGATATAACACTAACGATGATGGTATTTTTGGGATAAAATCACTTGTACGATGATATTTCATGGAACTCGCATCTGTCGATGATATTTTTTTGGAATTGAGCGCTTGTCAATAGTATTTCTTTTTTACTCTCTTATTCACGTACTCCCTCCGTACTCGTAAAGGAAGTCATTTAGGACCATGTTTAAGTCAAACATTGGGAATATAAATCACGAATAACTCTTAAGTTGTTGAGTTTGAAAATATAAAAATTATATGAATAGATTTGTCTTGAAAAATACTTTCATAAAAGTATACATATATCACTTTTCAATAAATTTTTTTATAGAAATAAGAAGTCAAAGTTGTGTTTTGGAGACCGTGTCGTTGTCCAAGATAACTTCCTTTGCGAGTAATGAGGGAGTACTAGTTTAAATCGTGCTCTGTAGCTGTAGCTGTCCTTTAAATAGTGGTGCAGACCTTGGGTGAGAGTTGAAGAATACTTCCTAGCTACTACTCGTCCCCCACTGAACATCGTCATGGGCTTCTGCACTTACAAAGAGAAGGATGACATCTTCAAGCTGACCCTCACCGGCGGCAACAGTGGCCACAATTACCTCACCGAGAAGTCGCTGAAGGAGCTCAAGGAGACGCTCGCGACGATTCGCGGCAAGGCCACCCCCTCGAGCAGGGGCCTCGTTACCATCTGCTCGGGCAAGAGCTCCTTCTGCGACGGCATCGACTACACCTCGTCGCCGCCGCCGGCGGTGGAGGAGCTGATCCGCGGCATGGCCGAGGTGGTGCGCGAGCTGCTGGGCATGCCTTTCCCGACGGTGGCGGCCGTCGGCGGCGACGTGAGGTCGTCCCTGGCGCTGGCGCTGGTGCTGGCGCACGACGACGTCGCCGTGCTAAAGAAAGTCAAGATCGAGGCGAGGGAGGTGGTGGAGGGGCGCCACGACGCCGTGCCGCCGTACCTCGGGGCGCTGCTCCGGGACAAGTCGTCGTACCCGCAGATGAGCTCCGACCTGGTGCTCCGGTCGGAGACCATGGCCGGAGAGAGGCTCAAGTATTGGTATCTGATCGAGCGAGTGTGCGACGACCAGTGGGAGCTGAAGGGCCATGCCATTAACATGATCAAAGAGGTCTTCGGTGACGAGCGCGACGGCGAGGCCTACGTCACCACCCGCAAGAGCTTGGTCTTCTCCGAGTCCTGGAAGGCCGTGTCCGAGTTACTCAAGAACATCTAGTCTTGATGCTCAATATCGTGTTCTTTCGTCTGCGTGAAAGCGAAGCAAGTGAACAAGTAGGACACATGAAGACAAAGGGCAAAAAAAGTTTCAATAATCTGTGCTTTTACGGTCGTTATACGTACCTATGTCTATAGATCAATATTCTTCTATTCTTCAATAGTACTCCTTCCGTCCCTAAATATTTGATGCCGTTGATTTTTTTAAATATGTTTGACCGTTTGTCTTATTTAAAAACTTTTGTGAATTATGTAAAACTATATGTAAACATAAAAATATATTTAACAATGAATCAAATGATAGGAAAAGAATTAATAATTACTTAAATTTTTTTAATAAGACGAACGATAAAACATATTTAAAAAATCAACGCCGTTAAATATTTATGGACGGAGAGAGTATAGTATTACTCAAATGCGTGTTCGAAGAAAAATAGCCTAAATAATTATACGTGAGAAAGAAATGTTCAATAATGATTATAGTGTGTTACATCAATTAGATTGCCGAACAAGGTTGTGGTACAAAACTTGGTACAAGTGTCACTGTTTTATCGATGATTTCATGGTTAATTCAGGGGCTTCTATATACGATGAAAGCGTGCTCTAGGACATTCCCCGGCCTGTTATAGATAGTACGTACGACACTCCAGTCCAATTCTAATGCTCCAAAAAAAAAATGAAGATCCTAGCTAGTAACTATATATTATCATCAAAAAATTAACGAGGAATGTTTTATTCGTTCTCCCGTTGAGCCACATATGCTATACAAGATGAACCGTTAGATTTTGGAAGAACGGTTCGATATATAGAGAAGGGAGGAAGAATCATAGCTAACTTTGACCAGATTGAAAGGAATAGCATAATCCAAAATTAAGCTTGATTTTTTTAAAAAAAATCTTCATGATAGAAAGAGAAGAAAAAGAGAACAAAAAATGTGAAAACCACATATACTCCTCTGGAGTCCTCCCTATTCTAGTTATTATTGCCGTCTTCCATATATCTCCTCGTTACTACTCCTGTGCCATGCACACTGCCAAATCCGAAGCTGCCGTACATAAAATGATTTACTATAAATTTTACACTCAAGGCATAATAAAGACATGTACAACGGTGTGTAATAACGGTCTCTCTTCGTTCCCATGTAGATAAAATTGATGATGTGGAAGAGAGAGAGTGGAGGAAAGGGAAACATGGTTGCTACGCGTGACAACGGGTCAGAGTCGACTCTTAACGTTTATTAAAGGAAATTTTGTTGCATGGAGGTGGAGAAAAGGAAAGAATGGTACTAAAAATATATTTTGGTGCATTAATGGTTAAGAGTTCTTGTTGTCTTAACTATTGTAGGAGAAGTCTCTAAGTGATATGTATTAACTAAGAGACCATTCTAAACTCTACCTTTGTACATGCCCTAATGGTTAATTATTTGTAATCACGATAATATTGTTCATTATATATTAATATATTGTAAAAGAAACTACACTTTCTACCGATTTTGTTCTGAAAAAAAGCCTTTTAAAAATATTTTATAATAATTTCCATATTATAACATTTAACAGAGAAGGAGGTCATGGTCACGTGAACAGACGATTCTAGTGGCAAATTGTAGCGCCCGTTCCGTCGTGGCGCCTACCGGAAAATTAATTCCTAAAAACCCTAATTGCGAAATTTGTTTCTTCGCTTGTCGTCTAGTATCCGTGCCATCTCAAGATCTCAAATCCCCGATCTATCGTCGAGTTCAATTCCGAATCCAAATCCTTCCAAATCAAATTCCTCCGCAAAAGTCTATTTTGCCTCCCCCGGGGTCGATGGGCCGAATTTCGCTCGGCCCATCCTCTCCTCTCCCCCGGCCCTCGCCCCTCCCCCGGCGCGCTCCCCCTCCGCTCCCCTCCGCGCCGCCCCGCCCGCGCGCCGCGCGCGCGTGTGCCGCCGCGCCGAGCGCCCCCTCCCTTTCCCCTCACTCTGCCCGCGCGTGTGCCGCCGCGCCGAGCGCCCCCCTCTCCCTCGCTCTCCTTCTCCCCATCCCTGGCAAGCCGGCCCCCGTGCGCCGTTGTTCACGCGCGCGCCCGCGTGGTCCTCGCCCGCGTCGCGTGGTTGCCGCCCGGCCCCGCGGCCCTGCCGCGCCTGCAGCCGCTCGGCCCCGCAGCCAGCGCGCGTGCCCGAGCCGCGCCGCTCCATCCGCCGCGCCCTCCCGTTGTTTCCCGCGCGCGCGTGCCGAGTGGCCGACCGCCTGGTCGCCGCCGCTGTCACCCCCTGCCGCGCCAGCCCGCGCCTGTCGCCCGTGTCGCCGCGCCGCTCCAAACCGCCCCGCCGTCATCGCCGTCGTCATCGCCTCGGCCCCGCCACTCCCGCGCTAGCCTCCAAAGGACGGAGGCAGAGCCTCCCTCCTCCCTCTGCTGCGCGCCTCCGCTCCCTCCTCCTTTTCCCAAATCGGCAAGGGGGCAAGCCCCTTTCTCCCCCTCCTTTTTTTCCCCTTTTCCTCCCGCCAGTGTCATCCTCCCTCCCTCTGTCACCGTCTTGGCCGCGAGCGCCGAGTGCCAGCTCGCGCCTTGACCGCCCAAGGTCGGTTTCCAAACCGACATCGTCGTCCTATAAACCAAGGCGCCCTCCCATCGATTCCCCCTCCTGTTTCGCTTGCCGCCTCCGCGCCATTGCCGCCCTCTGTTTCGCCGTCGCCGTTCATCGTTGTGCGTGTCGGAGGAGCTGGCACGAGCAAGGACGCGGAAGGGGACTTTGGCCGCGCCCTCTCCTTCCTCTTTCCCGGCCCGAGGCCGGAGAGATTACTCCCGCGCCGTCGGCCTCTCGTCACAGCGCCCCTCCTCACCTCGGTGATGCCTCCCTCCGTTCTTCCTCCTCGCTCCATCTCCCCCCTTAGTTTTCGGTAGTAGCTCGAGTAGCCTCCCCGTAGCTAGCCGGCGCCGCCCCGACCATTGCCCGCCGCATCCTTTCCACCGTGAACCGCGCGCATGCACCGCGTCCCTCCCCCGCCCGCGCGCGTGCGCCGCGTGCTCCCTCCGCACGGTGAGCCGAGCCGCTGACAAGCGGGTCCCACCCGGGACCGCGCGCGGTGAGCCCGGTCCACTGGCCCTCTCTCTCCTCCCTTCCCCCACACGCGCACTTGGGCCGTCATGGGCCGGCCGGCCCATTTAGCTCGGCCGGTCCGCTCCTTTTCACTTGGGCCGCGCCCTAGCCGCCCGAGGAAAAGTCTATAATCCCTCCCTCTTTCCTTTTCTTTTCTTTTCTTTTCCAAAAAGGATTTAATTAAATCCTTTTCCTTTAGACCAAAAATCCAATAATCTTGGAAATTCAATATCTTCCCAACCGTAAATCCGTTTGACTCCGTTCAACTTCCAAAATTCCTCAAATCTCGAGATCTATCTAATGGCACGCTTAGAGGTCATTAATAGGGCGCTTTTTTTTGCCGTTTGTTGAGTTGTCCCGTTTCGCGTGTAGTTTCGGAGCCCGAAGACCCGCAGTGCGAGGATTGCGAGGATCAAGCTCCAGATCTCGAGCAAGGCAAGCCACCTTTGAACATCTTGAGCCTATATTTGAAATTTAATTATGTTGCTTGAAAAATATTATGCACTGATAGGATCGCACTTAATCCGTTGTCCCGTCTGCAAGGCAGATTGGCGGACTTACCTAATTTGCTGCATTAGATCCTCCCTTTGTTAATTGTTATATCATGTCCCCTTGTAACCATCTACTTGCGTCTCGATATCCGTGCATCCTGCGCGAGTATCGACGGACGCCTTCAAACTTAAAATCTGAAAAACAACTTGGGTAAAACTTGGGATTACAAAAGACTTGGAAAAAAACCCGACACCTGGGTCGGTGCTTGCGAACTAAATGAATTTCCAAAACCGCGGACCGGGGAACGTACCGGGTGTACGGGTTCCCGCTCTCGCACTTAAGGACCGATTCCTTGGAATTTCATCCAAACATAAGACAAGTACGACCACATGGGTGGAATGGGACACCCCTGGCTGAGTAACTAGCTTATCAGGGGAGCCTTGATACCGAGAGACATGTGGATTCGCCGGGGTGGTGTCGGGGAGGACCCCTGGGCTTCCTGGCACAGTATGGTCTGGGACCTAACCTGTTGTTGGTCTGGGACCCCTCTCGTCGGCATATGGTAAACTTGTGTCGGCTTTCGAAATGCCTTGTCATGAAAGCTTGGAGGTCTCCCGACGTGGCTGATCCCCACGGGCTGGGTGATCCGGGTTAGTAATGTCGTGTGGGTAAAGTGTACCCCCTCTGCAGAGGTTAACAAACTGTTCGAACAGCCGTGCCCACGGTCATGGGCGGATGTGTGGTGATTCCTAGCGTAGTTTTGATTGACTACTGCTTGTGAAATTACTGTTGTGGAAAGGGGTTCGATGTTTGAAAAATCTGCAGCTGAAGGGATCAGCTAGGCCCGGGTGGCCGTTTGAAAGTTGTTGGCCCGGGTGGCCGTTTGAAAAGCTGTTGGCCGGGTGCCAATCTTGTTTCAATTTTAAAGACTGATACATTGCACATACTCCGACCGGACGAGACGCACTGTCTCATCCGTGTCGTTTGAGAAGCACTCACTTAGTTGTTTTCAAAAAGGAGTTCAAATAAAAACAATTGCAAAAACAACAGCCTTTCCTTGAAGCCTGCATTAAACACTTAATTCCCATGGCTTGCTGAGTACTCCCGTACTTACCCTTGCTCTATATAAATAATCCCCCCCAGTTGCTGAAGAAGATGAAGCGGATCCTGCTGATGAGGAGTTCTTCTAGGAGCAAGCCGGCTACGATGAGTTTTAGGGTTTCAGCCTAGTTCCCAAGTCGCGCCTGTGTTGTTTGGTCCAAGTCCTGGCTTTCGTTTCCCTTTTGTAATGCAGTTGTGAGCTCGGGATCTGTCCGCAGCCCAACATGACTGTACCTTTACTCTATAATAAAGAGACCTCTGATGCTATGATATTCTGTCTCCTTGTGATACCAGCACTGTTTCCTGGGATTGGTATCGATTAACAGGTTAATTTGGAGCGTCACGGGCTAGTTCCGGTCGGGACTAGTTCGGGGCGTGACACAAATATAGTTTAAAACTAAAGTACATAGAACTGGCACAAAATTCGTAGTATTGGGAGAAATTAGCGCACGCACAATTCTATGTTTATAATAATTAGCGTGGAGGTGTCTAGCAGTGTGGAGGCCACGAATCCTGGCAAACTCGTTGACGGCGGAAGTAGTTAGAGCAAGATAATAGGAGGCTGTAAGTCGGCTAAATGCTGAGGTGGAGGAGAGAAGAGAGTAGAGAGAGGAGAAGCGAGCTGTAAACTTACAGCCGGCTTGGACACAAGAACCAAGAAATTCTGAGAGAGACAAGTGGGCCATATATTAATTGTAAATAGCTAACTATTATATGTGTGGGCTAAGAGAAAGCTGCAAAGAACTTTATAGCCAACAAATAGGCTGTATTATTAGCCTTGCTCTTATGCTCAAGGCATGGTGCCCATGCCAGGAGAAATGAGGTAGAAGAAAAAAAATGGGTATGGTGGTCATTTGGCAACGACCGATTTTTAATGTTGAAAAAGTAGAAAAATGTTTGCATAAACCACAAAAGGAAAATCCTAGCTATTTTCATCAAACCATTGGAAATCAAAGAGTTGAATTGAAGTGGAGAAAGAAGTTATTATCTAATATCTATTCTTGGTTTGGACTATTGCGAGCTAAAGTAGGCAAGAATTATACTACTAAATATCCCAGTTTGTTGACTGTCATGAGATAAAGTATATCATATGTGTTTTCTACATACGAGCATGTGATTTGTACATGCATGTGCAATTTTAGCTATTGTCCATTGTTCTTGTTTATCTTTTGGTTATTAAATATCTTTGCTTGTGTTCGAGAGATGAGTAACTGCTTTCTCTCATCCCCGTGAAGAATCAGCTTGCTTTGATATATCTCGTCAATTACGAGCTGTGTGCGATCAGTTGAGGAATAGCTATTGATTGATAATGGTACATATGTTCAACAATGATATTTTCCTCTGTACAAGCAAGTAGTAGACAGTTGAACGATTCATCGGGATTCCTCTGTATATTTTTGTCAACGGCTGATTCTTTTTTGACAAACGATAAGTGCATACATTGACTAGCTAAAGTCAATGCCAATGGATTTAGCTTGAAAGATTACATAATAATACTTTAGTCTTAAAGCTTTCAAATAACTGAAAATGTGTAAAATGCAAATGGTGTTGCCGACAATTTAAGTGGTAGCTAGGTGTACAAGTCACCCCCTGATCATAAATTGTTGCAACGACTCACACATAAATTATACAAGATTGTAAATTCTACTCCATCTGTTCCATCCGTTTCATATTATATATTGTTTTGACATTTTTCTAATTAAAGTTTTTTAGTTTGTCTAAGTTTATAGAAAAATTTAACAATATCTACAATATCAAAATAGTTACATTAAATGTAACTTTGCATACATTTTGATAATATGTTTGTTTTGTATTAAAAATATTGTTATATTTTTCAGTAAACTTGATTGAACTTATAAAAGTTTGATTAAGAAAAAAAAGTAAAAAAGATCTATAATATGAAATTATGAAATGGAGAGAGTAGTATTTTTTTAGAACAAAGCTCTCGCGTGTATTTTAGTCACTGTAGTGGGTCATACTAGCTAAATATCCAATTTGGTGCAAATTAAGCAACATCATTATACGGTGTGTGATGAGCATTGCCCTCTCCAAGCAAAGCTCATTTGAGTAATAAATTTAATACGAAGTATTGATTAGTAATTATATTGTAAGTACCCACCTTGATCATAAATAATAGGATACCGTCAATACATTCAATGTCGTACCGAATATGACCGGACTGCAGTCAAGTGGACACACCAGTTGCCACGTGCCATTCACTAATTAAACGTGTTTTTCTAGAGATGGAAGCTCATTTTTATTTTTTCTGAAAGCTTAGAGAAGGAAGCTGAATTGTGCATAAGTAGACAACATCTCAAGTTCTAATTAGTAACAAAGATAAAGCAAACTGAAACCCAATATATTCTGACGGCGAAGTACGTTACTAAGCAAAAATACGTTACAGAATCATAAACATGTCTTCTTTCTGTACGTGGACGGAGCAGGATGGCGTCTACCGCCTCACGCTCGCCGGCGACGACGACCACCACTACCTCACCGGAGAGACAGTCGACGAGCTCACCCGCACGCTCGCCGCCATCCGCGAGCGCGCCATGGATCAGAAGCCGCCCGCCGGCGCCGCTGCCCGCGCCCTCATCACCGCCTCCTCCGCGGGCTCCTTCTGCGACGGCGTCGACTACGAGCGGGCGAGCCCAAGGGAGAAGCAAGCCGCCGCCGACGGGATGGTCGCCGTGATCCGGGAGCTCCTGGCGATGCCGATGCTGACGGTGTGCGCGGCGACGGGCGGCGCGCGCTCGCTGGGCCTGGTGCTGGCGCTGGCGCACGACGACGTCGTGGTGGTGAGCGGGGGGCGGTACCACCTCGGGATGGTCGAGAGGGGCGTCGTCGTGCCGCCGCACGTCGGCGCGCTGCTCCGGCAGAAGACGGACCGCTGGTACACGCTCGGGGCGCGGGTGATGGCCCCGAGGCACGACCAGGGCAGCTACCTCAAGCAATGGAAGGTCGTGGACGGCGTGGCGGGAGATCGCGACGGCGTGCTCGCCGAGGCCGAGAGGGTCGCCGGCGCATGGAACGGCGACGACGGTGAAGCACACGCCGGCATGAGGAGGCTGCTCTGCCGGGATTCGTGGGAGGCCGTGAGTGGTGCCCAGTAAGGGTTTGAAATTTCGTTTCGAAATTTCCAAAATTTCCGAAATATCAGCAATAAGCAGCTCGTCTTTCCAGATCGTTGATGCATCGGCGATACTGCCGTTTTCTCATCTACCGTTTCGTCCTGGATGTATCGATCCTTGCTTTTTTTTTTCTTGTTATATGCTACTTTTTGAAACTGAAAAATTGCCCGTGTGTTGCAACGGGAATAAAAGACGAGACAATTGAGGAAAAATTGAGAAATATTTATATTATATAATTGTTAACGACCAAATTTGGTAATATCTAGTATCGAAAATGAAAATTAGATCGAAGCGGAATCAAAGACGAAGATCGATTCGGGAACAGAATAAGAATCGGCTGGAGTCCAAATCGGCTACGATCGGGATCGGCTAAGTCCGGGTCAGATTGGATAAGCCGATACAGCCGATTCCAACAATACGACTCGGTATACATCATCGGGTTGAGTTGATGTGCTTCTTGATGATTGCCACACATGGATAGAGTCCTGAGAAGGCAATTGTATCTATTAATTAGGATATTTTATGTAATTTTCTTAGAGATATATTTAGGCAAAAGTCTGCCGCAAAGACTTATGGTATCTTAGAGTTTGATAGAGATAAGAGTCGTGTTTGATATGGACATGTTTTGTAATTCTCGGGTATAAATAGACCCCGAGCCCCATGTAATCAATTTAACACACGTTCAATACAATCTCAGCGCATCGCCACCCTTTTTTGCTTTAGTTTTATTTCGACGAGTTCTTGCTTTCGGGTTGAGCTGCATCGGTTTCGATCTTCAACAAGAGGTAAAACTTGTTATGACGGCTTGCGTTATCGGGATTAGTGCTTCCATCTTTAGAATACTCTAATCTTGTTTATGTAATTCGTCGAGTTATCATATATCTTACATAATCTCAGGCAATATCGCTATCTAATCTACAATCGGCTAAGATCTGTCAGTAGAGGGAAGCTGATTAGGTTAGACATCGATGTTGACTTAGATTATATAGGATATCTATCACTCTATGAAACTTCCAGCGGCTTGATTGTCTAGATATTATTCTTCTTTTCATACTTAATGCTGCATCAGTTGAGTTCGATCTATTAAGTCGTGCTTACAATATCAATCTCTATCCTATCTTCTGGTTGCCGATTAGGGTAGCATCAGGGTTTCAGCCGATCTTACCTGATTTAACTATATTTACTCTATATGCTTCGTTGATAGGTTAAATCTGCCCTTTATGTTAAGATCTTGTTGCATTTAAATATATTAGGCCTTTGTTTGATATATTCCACTTGCTTTAATATATTAGCATAGAATGGTATCGGAGTATTAGCCGATACATGCTAGATCTATCTGATCGGCTATGCTATGAATATATATAATCCTATTATTAATATATATTTCGATCTAAATGATTTATACTGTCTCGGCATGGCGTCCGATCTATCCCAATCACTTGATTTAAATATATATCGATATAAGGACTATATATCATTAATATCTACAGCCGATCGAGTAGATTTAGTTCTGTTTTATTTATTCATGATTGCCGATCGATATATATATATATATATATATATATATATATATATATATATATATAATCTGAGAGAAGCTTAATTTCTTTAAAGGAAAAAGAATCTTATAAGAAACATCCAACTAGACATTAAAATATGGTAGCAGAGGAGATACACTAATGTTTTGATATGCCCTTATTGCTAGCAATGTCGCTGTAAGACGCAAAATTTCTAACCTCATTGCCAAGTTTTGACTGGATGCCAGTGATATGCCCTTATTGCTACAATGTCGCTGTACGATGCAAAATTAATAACCTCATTGCCAAGTTTTGATTGGATGCCAGTGAGAGATGATCTGGTAGATGAATAATTTTCTATCATACTCTACCGATCCTATTGTTAGCATGGTAACGCTTTGTCATTTATTCACTAAGTTTTGCCTTATATGTAGTTTTGTTTTTAATGGTAATTCTACTATACTTAACAAATTAAATTCTCTGTGGATTAGGCTAGTGAACGTGCATAGAGAATTCAGCAAGCTAGAGATATGACAGTATATAGACTGATTATAAGTGGGATGCTAGAGGAGTAAGTCTATATCATTGGCAGATACACGAGCATTTTCTGAAATACAAAGTACTGAAAGGCACTCACCAAAGGAGTTCTTTTAAAGCCAGCAACATGATGAATTTATTCACGCCGCAAGACTATGACAGTAAAGGTTTGATTTAAGCATCCAATATTTTCAGCCAATTTTCTGAAGATTTGAATACCAAGCTTCCTAATGACTAGCAACAAGATTAGTTATAACCTCCGGGACAGAACCAAATTCATCCAGGAATTCAAAGGGTAAAATATACCATAGCTCTGACCAAGTACATGAAGAATCCAGCATTTTGAAGGGTCTTTATGATGCTCAGGGATTCATGTAAGCAATAATTTGTTATCCCTAAGGCAAATGGTTTTCCTCAACATTTTGTTTCTTAAATATATTTTAATTTTCTCAGAGTGCGATCAATCATGAATGCCAACGACGACCAGAAGCTGCAGCTAGAGACAGAAGCTTCACACGCCAACCTTGGATGCTTGGAAGTTGTGATAGTTTTTCTGCACCTACATGAACTGGAAGAGCTGCCCCTCGACCCTTGTCAAAAGCTTAAGGCAACATGAATCTCCCTTGACCTCCTCGATGGAACCCAAGGGGTGGCACTGGATGTGGCAGCGCACATATATAGGATGAGGTGGAGATATGCTCATCTGAAGATGCCATCCCCACGATCCGGCGGAGGCAGGATACACAGCTCTGGCTAGATCTACAGCAACCTCGCCACTGGCTTCCGGTGAGACCAGGTATGCCTAACTCCCTGGAGGACATTAAATCTTAGCTTTTTTTCAAACAAAAAAAGTTTTTTTAACTGTTCAACCTGGCTGGATGATTTGTCATCTTTTGCCTGTTGACTTAGGACAATAGGAGATGAAATACTGGGAATGTTTTCTGTGTTTTGCACGCAAATGGTTCATCACCCATCCATTTTGGTTGGAATCAGAATTCCTTGTTTCCTCTACAGCTTCAGGAGAAGTCCCCATCCTATTTAAGGGCCAGCAATTTCTTGGAAGCACGACTTTCATCTGTCTAATTTGTGGCCATAAGAAACAGTCAAGAGGTACCCAATATATGCTGTGCTTAAGATGAGTAGCATACAACATTTGATTGAACATATCGACTAGTTAAAATGGCAACTGAGGCACACATTATTTTTGTTCTCCTACAAACAGATGTTTTAATATGCCATGCTAATGGTCGCTTCGGAACAAAAAGAGTTTGCATTTTGCACTTCATAAAGTACACTTTGTTTCACTTCGCACCATATTCAACACATACTTTCACTTTACACTAGTGCTTATTTATATAAGTTTCACTTAACACCAGGATATACATGGACACTAGCAATGTATTTTGATGGAAATAAACAATTGCACTGGCCTTGCATTACATGCATGATTAGCTATTGTCATTTCAAGTGTTTCTCAAACCAGTCAAGCATTAAGGCAAGAGATTGTTCAGCAGTTCTGACAGCAAACGGGTTGCTGGCGTTATATCTGCAAGCAAAGCCATGAGCCACTCCTGGAAAGATCCTGGCAAAGTAATCAACCTGCAACAAAGATGCAATCCATAAGAGGCTCTTCATAACTTGTTTCTTTTCTTAAAGATCATTGAGTGGTTGTGTTTAAGAAACAATTGTAAACTTGTTTATTGACAATGTGCTAGTGTTTGGACTTTTCATTAATGTTACTAATTAGCTAGATCCAATATTGCCTCAAAAAGAAAAATAGAGCCAGCATGATCTTTCAATTTCTCATCATCAGTGGGAGATTTTTCTCGTGTGTGTCTACCGTGGGACTATGCTGATGCATTTGGCATCAAGTGCCAATGAAAATCAACAGGAACTTACCTCAGGTCTTTGGCGCAAGGCATTAACAAACTGGTACACTAATCTTGGTGGTGTTACAGCGTCATTCTCAGCTCCAAGGATTTCAATGGGGCATTTGACATCTGTGTCAAGGTCAATTTGGAATAAGAAAAACAGGGACTACTAGGATACAACGTACATGAATCAGTTAACTATATATTCATCTATATACTGCGCAACAATAGCACCAAAACAGATAAGTTCACCTTTCATATCATCAGCAGTCACCGATGAAGGATGGGAGATGACAATCGCTCCAACCTCATTGGTTTTCGCAACCTCGACAGCTAACTTTCCTGTCAATTGAAGTTTTGTTGTTTAGACTATAATAGTATGAATTAAGTCTAGATATGGAAATTAACTAGGAATTTACAAAGTTTTTTAGAGTGTATGTATTACTAATGTACTGATGTAGGATATGTAAAGACATTTTCTTTTTGCTGATCGATTTTGCTTACCGCCCCAACAATAACCTCCAACTCCAACAACATATTTCCCTTCTCTTTTTAGAGCAGCAAAGATCGGTTTAGAATCTTCAGCTGCCTTCACCTGAAATTTCAATTGAATATACTGATCAATATCAATTGACTCCTCGATAATCGTCGTTGAATAAGCTATGTAATTGGTGAAAACAATTACCGGAGAGTGAGCCATGATCCATTTTGTAATGTTTATACTTGGGTCTCCATTGTAAGGTCGCCTTTGGAAGAAATCTGGCACCACGACGTAATATCCCGCTTCACCAACTTTGTCAGCTATTTTCCTGTAATTGTCAGCATTATTAACCACAAATTTGATTTTAAATTGTCTTTGCAATCTAGAATGGGAGTAAAAATGTAAGGTGTATTGAAAGGAATCCAGTTGGGACGTTTTACAATACTTTCAAGCTAAAGGAAGCACTTAAAATTGGAATGAAAAACAGAAACCTTAGTACAATCCACATGAAGAAATCTTTGCTGTTATACCATTGGAATCCACGATATTTTTACAGAAAAACTGAATTTCTGAAATTGGATCGTTGCTTGGTTATCCATTCATAAATCAGCTTTACAAGGACAGCAATGAGATATTACTATTGACTATTGAGTTACGACAGCGTTTGCCCCTAAAGAAATGATGTTTTAGAAAGCATGTAATGAACATAGTTATGCACAGTAATACAGTATACAATGATAGTACTACTCCTTTTGTTTCAAATTAATTATTGTTATAACTTTGTCCCAAGTCAAATATTTCTATTTTAGCCTATTAATAACTAGCAATTTGTATAATTTAAATACATGTGGATTGCATATTTGGAAGTATTTCTTATTGTGAATCAAAAAACATATTAAAACTTATGTCATCAAAATATACATTTTTTTTAAAAAAATGATTGTTAAAGTTAGAAATTGTTGACTTAGGATAAAACTAGAACTACAAATAATTTGTAATGGAAGGAGTAGTAGATTTATCTTCAACTTCGTAGGGATACAGAAGATGAAAGTTTTAGCATATATGTTGTCTAAGTAGAGTAGTTAAAATAATGAAATTGCACATTGAAAGTAAATGATGTATTTCAACCGCTTAACATATTTATATCATTAGAAGGTCAGAATATGGAAAATAGCAAAAATGAGTATACGCTTCTGATTCTCCGTATGAATTGATGGTTACTCAAAAAAAAAAAGATACTAACTACTCCCTCCGTTTATTCGACGCCGTTAAATTTTTTAAATATGTTTAATCATTTGTCTTATTCAAAAAATTTAAGTAATTATTAATTATTGTCTTATCATTTGATTCATTGTTAAATATACTTACATATATACATATAGTTTTACATATTTCATAAAAGTTTTTTGAATAAGACAAACGGTAAAAAATTTAAGTAATTATTAATTATTGTCTTATCATTTGATTCATTGTTAAATATACTTACATGTATACATATAGTTTTACATATTTCATAAAATTTTTTTGAATAAGACAAATGGTCAAGCATGTGCTAAAAAATCAACGGTGTCAAATATTTAAAAACGGAGGGAGTATTTGAAACGGAAGAAACATGTACATAGCAATGTTGAATATTCTTTGTTCAAGCTCATGGATGGTGAGGGCGAATGGACGATTATTTGCTTTTACACTTTTGCGTGTCTAAAGTCTAAACCTGTTATCCTTCTCACAAGTCACTGCAGAAAGATAGGAGATAGTTCACTAAAACTGACCTGAACCCATTGTGACAAGAAAAACAGGTATGGTACACAATTAAGCCATATCTGTCTTTTTCTTTTTTTTTAAATCAGTCTCTTTCCAGAGTTGTTCAAGTGTCAAGTATTTGTCATGCCCTGTTCTCTTTAGATTTTCCCCCGGATAATTGCTACAGATTATTTGGTCCATGCTTTAAAAAATATTATTTATTCTACTGCATTATTAGATATTTGCAAAGTTCATTTTTCAAAATATTAATTTGTTATGTTAATAAAATAAACAATCTGCGCCTATAATCCAGAGAGTGAAGAAATGAAGAAAATTACTGTCGAAGATGACAACGAACAAGAAGCTAAAGGAAATGAAAAGAAGATTTTGTACCTCAGCAATGGTGCTTCAAATCCTGAAGAAACCAAATTAACAGCAACAATTAACGGCTAATCAATCGATAATCACCAAAGGATGGCAGTGAGCCAGTGACTGATCAGTAAGCAAATCAGGCAGACATGCACACACACACTACTAACCAAAGACGTCGGAGGCGAGGACGATGGCCCGGCCGGAGTGGGCGGCGCCGCCGGTGACGTAGGCCGCGAATCCTCCCAGGTTTTGGACGACCACGCCGGCCTCGCCGTCGCCGGCGGCCGTCAGCTCCGGCGGGTTCTCCAGGCACTGCAACCGCGGAGAACCAGCAGCGCCGCCGCCGGCCGCCGCGGCGAGCACGGCGAGGCAGAGGAGGCTCCGGTGGAGCATCGACGTCGGTGCCATGGTGATGGGTTTAGTTTGCATGGTAATGGTCATTAGATGCAGAGGGTTTTGTACTACATTTTGGCTTTAGCACGGTAGGTAGCAAAAAGAAGACGCACTTGACATGTTAGTGTCGCATTGATGTTGCAATCCTACCTTTTCAAATTGTGCCATTCTGTCATGCTAAATCTTTGTTACACGTGGCCAAGTTCGTTCGAAAGATTTTATCTCGGTTTCTGTTAGCGCGTTTTTTAATATGTTAAACGGTACATCTCATACGAAAACAACTTTCAATATAGTAGTGGCTTTGAAATATTAGATAAAACTATTTTTTTATTTATTTTGTAAGTTTGAAATAATTAAAACTCAAATGATCATACGTTTTCTCGTTTTCTATACCCATACTTAATATTCATCTAAATCACTTCCGTTAACACTGATTTGAGATTGGATGGTAGCATCTCATCTAAAGAAGATGAAACTGCGCCTTCAGTTTCATTTGCAGAGGTCCCTCTTTCAACTTTGATTTTTTTTCTTCCCCGGCGTTTAATTTGGAGATCTTACCTTTCTACTTAGAGAGTTGAGCTTTTGAGTTGAATTCCTTCCATTATTTGTTCCTCACCACCAATACAAAGAATCATTTCTAGTGTTCGACACTAACGGCATGTCATTTCCTGCCATCACATTGTCAAATTCACCACCTACCAAATTTTACCCCGAAAGGAAATGGGCCATGCAATAATTCTCTAACTCAATACTGGGAAGGCATGTTGTTAAAAACTTGCTTCAATTTCCCCGCAAATATCACATTCGTTGGCACTCCTGTAATCCTATTCGTTTCCATGAAAATTGTTGAGTCAGAGAAGCCATCGGCTGGCATTTAGCCCAACGGTTAAGTGATGATGCTGTCTCGTTTTCTCAATTACCAGAACTCCTGAATCATTACTTTGTCAAGAGCTACATTTCTAACCATTGTAATTAAGAAGTACAAGATCGCTGATTGCACATCAACGCATTATGTTATTATCAGACACATGAGATGTGCTATCACAAGTTTATGCCGCCTAACCTTCAATCCTTCAGTTCTTTCCTTCAAGCTGGAAGGCAGGCCTGCCATCACCATCCGCCACAACAGGCTGCTACACAATGAGGGCCCCTTTGAATCAAAGGATTTATATAGGAATTTCATTGGATTCAAATCCTATAGGAAAATTTCCTATTTGGCCCTTTGATTCAAAGGATTGAAACTTTTCAAATCCTATGAAATTCCTATAGAATGACACATTGTAAGTGGATTTTGGAGGAAACTTAGCAAGAGGTCCAACCTCTTGGAAAAATTCCTTTGAGTCTATATTTCTCATCCGATTCCTGTGTTTTTCCTGCGGTCCAATCAAACGATCATTCCTGTGTTTTTTCTGTATTTTGCAATTCTCTGTTTTACACTTCAATTCCTATCAGGATGAATGAACTGTACTTTTTTTATGGAAAGGCATAGGAAGTCCCGTAGTAGTTGCATCAATTAAGTCAGAAAACCTTGGCCAGAAAGAATTTAAAGAAAAAAAAATCTGAATATTGTTCTCCTAATTACCTGTGTTTTGGAGAACTAAACTAACAAGAAAACGTAACATGGATGGGGGACATAAATTACAGATCGTCGGGTGGTGGCAGAGTGTAAGAATACTTTATTCCCCACACTTCTTAGACAAACGAGGAACAAATTTCGCCAGGCAAATGAGGAACAAATTGAAAGGAACAAAACTGGAAGAGACTTGGAAAATACAGTACCTGCATGTCTTGTTGGTCGTGAGTCTTGTCAATCCATACAGATCTTTATACCAATCAGTCCATACACATAATGTTTAGGTGTTATAACGGCATCAATGGATCTTCTTAATCTTTAGCGAGTGATGCTTGCCATTTTCTGTAGGATTCCTCTTAATATATACAGTGTTTATAGTCGTCTTGACATGTTCACAGCCATCACACTCCACTATTCCAGGCTTTCTGTAAGCATATCATACTTGCATTCCATGTGAGCTTGCAAGCAATCAAGAACAGCCAGGACATTGTTTACTTGGTGGCTCTTTGATCTGTTCTCTGCCGTGAAGGAATAAACCTTATCACCGACTTCTATCCAGCTACACCCAATGTTCGTCTTTAGGCCTCTCGCCTTCATTGCCATCCTCACTCTGGCCACATCACTCCAGCAACCAATTGTGGCATACAGATTTGCTAGTTGTATATGAGTTGCAGCACAACCTGGCTCAAGTTTAAGACGGTGCTCTGCAGCCTGGATGCCGATCGAAATGTTCCCATGCACCCTACAGGAACCCAGCAGAGAGCCCCATATGACGGCATTTGGAGGGATAGACATTGTTTGGATCAAATCCCACGCTTCTTCAAGCAATCCTGCGCGCCCAAGAAGGTCGACCATACATGAGTAGTGATCGAGCCCTGGTTTTATTCCATGTTCAATCATTGTCTTGAAGCAGTGTCGGCCTTCCTCCACAAGGCGTGCATGCCGGCATGAAGAAAGGACACCAAGGAAGGAGAGAGCATCAGGTACTATGTGTTGCCTCTCCATTTCTTTCAGCAAGTCAAGGCAATGCTTAGCAAGACCATACTGCGAACATCCAAAGATAATGGCATTCCACGAAACAAGGTCCTTACAGGCAATGCAGCCAAATATGAACTGGGCTTCATCAATACACCCACACTTTGCATACATTGACAGCAGGGCATTGGAAACATGCACATACGAATGGAAACCCATTCTCATTTGTAAAGCATGGACACTTCTACCAAGTGCTAGAAGTGCATGTTTAGTGCACACACTAAAAAGAGTGGCAAATGTGATGTCATTTGGCTTGCAACTTGAAAGCATCATTGATGCAAACAAATGGAGACATGGCTCAACCCGATTATGAAGCGCAAAACCAGAAATCATTGCTGTCCATGACACTGTGTTTTTGGTTGGCATGGTCTGGAAAACCAAGTACGAACTTTCCAACTGGCTACACCTCGAATATAAGGTGATGAGTGAACTGCCAATAAAGACAGTTGAATCACAGCCAACTTTAACCAATAGACCATGAAGCTGTGTGCCTTGGGTGAACATTTGCCTATCAGCACAGGAACTCATGGCAGCTGCCAAAATAGATTGATCAGTACTGGTTTCTCCTTTCCTGTGCAGCTCCATTATCAGCATAAACATGTCCTCCTTTATGAATCTAGTCCTGGAACACAAAGCCGAGCCATTATTTGAAACAAAGCTATCAAATTTAGCCTGTGCAGGATTGCTGCATGAGTTAAAAGTGACACCATTTCCCTTGTGTATAGTATGATTTGATTGAACCCCCAAGATGTCATTCATGCAGTCATGGATTAGTCGGTGATGGCATGGACCTCCCACTTTGTCATAGTCAGCCTTTCTTGGTACAAGATTCAAAACTTTTAGCGCACTGTTGATGTTGCTGCCATGCTGGTCCTTTGATGTGCTTTGTGCTGCAGAAGTCCCATAGCTTGCAACAGGTACACGAATAGCCGATGCTACTGCTGCTGACAAACTGCTGAAACAGCCACCTACAAGACGGTTGTGCATAACTGAAGCCGTCCATGTGTGAGCCAATGAGCACGATTGAGGAGCAGAAAATAGCAAGCAATCCAGAGCACTTAACATGTGCCATGGAGTCCCAGTAGAGCCCCAAACATGTTTGGAAGATAATCTGCACCCGCACCTTGGGATTAATCTTGCTCGCTGAAGAAGAAGCACATAAATCATCAAACCAAGGATAGATGGATAAGATTGGTAAGGATAGCACCATGGAGAAAATAAAAATCTAAAAGGCTATAACTAAATGAACGGAGAGTAAGATTTTCGATTTGATTCCTCACAGACACAGCATTACAGCAATCTAGGGGTTCCTTAAAACAGGAGAAATCAACCAAAATTCAAATGGACCTCCCCAGGATTTCAGAGTTATAAATAAAGTTATTGTTCAAAGATTGATAACAGCAAAAAAATCAACTACAAATTACAACCTGTGTAGCAAATACAACTATGCTTCTAAATGCAAGAAAAATGTGTGATCTAATCGCTCGAGAACAGTGGCGGCCCCAGGATTTTAAACTTGTGTATTCGAAATAGAAAGGGGTAAAAAAAATTTGTTCATAGACCTAAAAACCTAATAATTGGCTAATTGGCTTGTATAGTATCACAAACTAATAATTATATAATATATAGCGTATAATTGAGCATAAATTCACACATTGATAGAATTGATCATCATTTGAAATTGTTTAACATATAGAATACTAATTAGTAAACATATCAAAGTGCCAACATATGAAATACATAAAGGGTAGAAAATGATAAATTGGGAAGAAATCTTACAGTTTGGAGATCAACTTTTCGTTGTTTGATATTTTGGAAATAAGTGATGATGTCCTTGTCTTTAATTTGCAAGAAAAATTCTCTTTCAATGAATGTAACTAAACAATCATTCAACTATTGTTGCCCTATCTTGCTTCTCAAGTTCATACATTATGATACAAAGCACAAATTAGCATATATGATGCACAGAAATATGTTTGCTAAGTCGCTAGTAATCTCAATTAAAAAAAGGTTGTTAGCCCATTACTAGTTCATCCAACATCAGGATCAGGAACACATGGATGCTAAACATAGAAAATCATGCGAAACTGAAATCTAGATGCAAAACCTAAGTACCGAGGGGATTCACATGAGACAGGAGCTAGGGATTAAACCAAACCAGGAGGAAGGATCGCCGGGGGGTGCGGTCGTTACCTCGGGGCTCGGGACTTGATTTCTTCGCGCTGGGCCTCGAGGCGGGTAGAGCTTGTCGTCCATGGCCGCACTGCCGCTGTCGCAGCAGGCCGCGCGTCGCGCCGCAATGCCGCTGTCGCCGCAGGCCGCGCCGCGCCGCTGCCTCACGAGTCAGCCGCTGCCCCGCGCCCTGGCGCCAAGCCGAGTGGTCCTCTTCCTGCGTCGACGCCTCCACGGCCGTGCGCCCGCTCCGCCGCCACCCTAGGAGATGCTGCGCCAGTGCGTCCAGCCGGCAGCCGCCCCTGCCTGGCTGGCTGCCCCGCGGTCGCCGGCTCGCCGCCGCCGTACACCGCGCCCGCCGCCGCACCGCACGCCGCACGCAGCGCCCCCCGCCGCCCGTCTCCTTGCAAAGCTAGGGTTAGGTTAGGGAATTTGGGAATTGGGGATTTTGGGTTAGCTGCCTGGCAGGTGAGTTTGGCTTCGAAATGGTCTTAGTTGCGGCCCAAGTAGACTACGGGCCGAGTGAAAGGGGGAGGAAGGTGGAAAATTTAGACCCAATAGAGAAAGAAATGGCATAACGAGGCCCAAATGAGTAGTTTAAGTCTTTTTCTTTAACTTTTTGAATACATATATGAACTATAGAGTATATATACCTATTTTTTGTCTAAAAATCTTGGGTATACATCTGAATACCCTTGAATTATAGCTGGGCCCGCCCCTGCTCGAGAAGTTCAGCGCTTCAGCTAGTTGGCACAAATCTGCAAAGCTTGTAAACAAGTTTATACTTGAGGAGCTTAGGTTCTTGTTTGCTTCAAAATTTTTTGATTTTCCAGACCTTTTAACCACTATGGACAACAGCTATAAAGAATTAAAGATTGTGAGTTGAAATGGAAGATGCATCAGTTCTATTTCTTCAGGATGGAAGTGATCTAGCATTCTAGCCTAACCCAACCTATTCTTGCCAGGATAAAAATGGCCCGTTCACTGATTCACCATCTCGAATTGAACAAAAAAAAAATTGAGTGGGGAAAAAATCAGGATTCACCTGCTTGCTACCTGAACTGGGAACGGTGCCCGCCAGCCCAGGACGCCGCCCGCAGCCGTCCGCCGTAGGCTGCAGCGAGCGCCGGCGACCTAGCCTCGCTGCATGGCGTGCGTGGCCCTTTGAGGCTTGGGCCGTGGACAACGCCGGACAGAGAGAGAGAGAGAGAGAGAGAGAGAGGTAGGTTTAGCCTGGACAAGCACGCTGCTCCGCCGCTGGTCGGCGCCCCGCCGGCTGGCCTCGTCTGGCAGCCGCTGCGCCGCTCGATCTGCTGCCGCCTGCGGAGACGATTTGATGGTTTGGTTATGGGACTTTGGCCGAAACACATGCAGGGATGAGTCGGGGAAAAGATGGCCCAATGGGCTTAGGTAATTGAATTTTGAACTCCATTTTATTCGGAAACTGAAACTGTCAGCCTTGCTACTTAACTACTAGGCATCACTGTATGTATACCACCAGGTGTTCCCTTTGTTCCATTTTCTAAGACATTTTATATCCTCTTTTATTTAGACTTATAAGCTAGGGGCTGATCGGGAGATATTACTGTGGCTATGCAACTGCAGCGGTAGCATCACCAAACCCAAAACCAGGGGTGGATCCAGCAATGAAAAATTGGGGGGGGGGGGGGGGGGGAGGCTCAACCTATAAAAGACATTACTCCCAAAATTTTCAGGTTTTCCTGGCTCAAAGCAAACATAACAGTACAAGCAAAACGCTGCATTCTTTGATTCACTGTACTCTAACCAATCATAGATCTCCAACCAACGTTGTTGGAAAGATCTCTATTCACCACTTTGCCATTTGTGAGGAAATGTATAACCAACTGGTTGGGTTGGGACCCTTAAAACATATGCCCTCTTCACTTGATCTCTAATCTCAAATGGATACTCATCAATTTGCACATTCCTGGATCACTAACAATATCTGAGCAAGTGAACTAGACCCTTGCCAATTTTTGTTGTCTTATGTTCTCATCGTCCTCTGATGCAGTAGTACTGCTACTGCCACTTGAATAATAGTTGAACAATGTTCTTTTCGAGATGCTGAGATTCTAGTCTAGACAAAAAAAGAAAATGAAACTGTGCTAAATTGCTAATGGATTGAATCATTCCAAATTTCCAATCAATTAATCATTAATCACAATTGCATTGCATATTTGCATAAAATTCTAAACATTACATACCTTGTTTAGTTATTCTGCCTGCCTGTTGCTCGCCTGGTCCTGCCTCTTGCTCGCGTGCTCCCGTGACGTCGCCGGCGCCGCCCGCCGCCGACGCCGCGCGCTTCCGCCTGCTGCCTCGCCGGTAGGGGTGAAAACGGTTCGGAATTTTTCCGGATTCCGGACCTGTTTTCGGAAACGGAATCAGCCGGTCGGAATTTTTTCGGAATTTCACGGAAACGGAATCGAAAACGGAAATATTTTTTCGGAAACGGAATCGAATATGATAATATCAGTTTCCGTCGGAACTCGGAATCGGTCGGAAAAATTCCGGAAAGTTTGTCGGAATTTCCGAAGTTAAAAAGGCCCATCCAAATAGTCCATAATTCCTCCCCAAATTCCCAGCCCAACCCAAGTCCCTAACTGGCTAACCCTAGAGAGGAGAGAGAGAGAGAGATCGAGAGAGGCGGCGCATCAGAGATCGAGAGAGGCGGCGGCGGAGCGGCGCATCCAGGGGTCGAGTGCGCCACCGCTGGCCGCCTGGCCGCCGTCCTCGGCTAGTCGGCTCTCTCGCTCCGTCCTCGCCCCCACCATTTTCGCCGCCGCCACCACCACAGACGACGCCGCCGACGCGGACGACGCCGGCCACTGGCCACACCGTCGATGCCGGCTACCCACTAAATCACGGAAAAAAATAAAATTCCAAAAAGAATTCAAAAAAAGAAACCCTAGCCGTCGCCCAAGCTCGCCGCCACCTGCCCCCGCCTCCTCGTCGTCGTCGGCGGCGGAGGTGAGGAGGAGATGGCGGTGGCGCCACCGCCCGAGGTCGCCGCTACTCTTCACCCAAGGCCGCCGTCGGATTCGGGCGGGACGAGGTCCGCCGCCGCCGGATCCGGGCGGGACGAGAACCGTCGCCGCCGGATCTGGCCCGTCGGCTCCTCGTCGTCGTCGGCAGCGACGGTGAGGAGGAGATGGCGGTGGTGCCGCCGCCCGAGGTTGCCGCCCACTCTTCGACCGAGGTCGCCGCCCCCGCCACCGCCAGCTCCAGGCCGGAGCCCAAGGCGGCCGAGCCATGCCGCCGCCGCCGCCGCCAGCTCCCGCCACCGCCACCGCCGCCCTAGGAGGAGTGGAGAGGAGAGAAAGAGAGTTAAGGAAAGAAAGAGAGTGAGGGGAGAGGATAGAAAGAGAGAGAGTGGAGGTAAAAATATCAGGATAGGGAGAGAGAAGAGGAGATGAAAAAATTTGAAGCGAGGAGGAGTGAAAAACAATTAATTTTAAAATATTAAAACTTTGAATCGAATTTTATGATATTAAATGAACTTGTGTGAAAAAGTTATCAAAAATAAAGTTGTAGAACTCGTTAAGATCTACCAATTTTCTTTTGGCCATTTCTCCATTCAAGTTTGATTGGACTATATAAAGTTTGAATTTTAAAATATAAGAAATTCAAATAATTTTTCGGGTAGTAAATGATTTCAAATGGGAAAGTTGTCAACAACAAAGTTGTATAACTCATCAAGATCTACAACTTTAGTATTGGTCATTTTTCTATATGACTTTGTTTGAACAGTTTGAATTTGAATTTCAAATTATGATAACTTCGAATAATATTTTTAAGTATTAAATGATTTCAACTGAAAAAGTCATCAATAACAAAGTGGTATAACTCATCAAGATCTATAACTTTTATTTGGGTTATTTCTTCATCCGATAAAGTGATTTATAAGATCGTTCACAAAATGTACATATCTCTTATATAGTTTATAGACTATAGGAGATATATGTAAATTTTGTGAATAATATTACTATCACTTTATCGGATGAAGAAATGACCAAAATAAAAGTTATAGATATTGATGAGTTATACAACTTTATTGTTGATGACTTTTTCAGTTGAAATCATTTAGTACTTGAAAATATTGTCTGAAGTTGTTATAATTTAAAATTCAAATTCAAATTATAGAAACAAAGTCATATAGCAAAATGATCAAAACAAAAGTTGTAGATATTGATGAGTTATACAACTTTGTTGTTGATGACTTTTTCATTTGAAATCATTTAGTATTTAAAAATGTTGTTTGAAGTTGTCATAATTTGAAATTCAAATTCAAATTATTGAAACAAAGTCATATAGCAAAATGACCAAAACAAAAGTTGTTGATCTTGATAAGTTATACAACTTTGTTATTGACATTTTTTTCATTTGAAATCATTTACTACCCTAAAAAATATTTGAATTGAGAGGAAGGAGGCATTATAGACTTCTCGGCGAGGGAGGAGCAAAAGGGCTGGGCCGGCGGCCCGAAGAGGGAGGAGGGGAAGGGGAAGCCGGCCCGTGGAGGGAGAGAGAGGCTGCGGGCTGCGGGCTAATAGTGTATACTTTATACCTTATACCATGGTATTTTGCTGTAATTTTTTTAGAATATTTGTTATACAAATTATATGAAGTTATAGAAGAATATATTTTGCTGTTGAGACTTACCAATTAGACTTCATATAATTGTGTTTTATAATGAATTGTTGACTGTTAAAACTTGAGAATTGAACTTCACAAAAGTTTGAAGCTCAGTTTGAGGGGTTTCTGTATTCCGATAAATTTTCGTTACCGTATCCGCACCGGTTCGTTTTCGCTCTGTTTTCGGTTTCGATAATATTCGTTTCCGTTTTCGTTTCCAGGGTTTCCGATTCCGATTCCGATTCCGAAAAAAATATGGAAACGAAAATGATAAAGGTTGTTTCCGTACCGTTTCTGCCGGCGCGTGCTCCGCTGCGCCGCTCGTCTTCACCTCGCCGCCTGCCCCCGCGCCGCTCGCCTCTTGAGCCGCCGAACGGGGAGCTCACTGCCTTGGCTGCTAGGGATTCGGGGCCGGGTACTGGGGAATTAGGTAGTGGAAAAAGTGCACCGAAGGTCCCTTAACTTGTCATTGAATTACAATATCGTCCTCCAACCGCAAAACCAGATATCCGGCAGGTTCTTCGGTGGTTTTTTGACAAATTGACCCTTTTCAAAAACTTATTTCGAAACTAACCCCTGCCAAAAACTTCAACCAAAACTAGGCCGTCGGCTCAGCGCCAAGCGCATTGGCGCTGAGGTTGGCCGTGTCAGCGCCAACGGGACTGGTGCTGACATTGTGCCACCGTGGCGGCCGGGCCGATCCCCTAGCTGACGTGGCAGCTACCTCAGCGCCAACCGCTTCGGCGCTGAGGTGCCCAACCTCAGCGCCAAGTAAGTTGGCGCTGACCTTGGCTACTTAGAGCCCGGCCGAGGCCGCCCCAGCCAGTTCTTCCTCCGTTTTTTCCCCAGCCGCCCGCCTAGGGTTCGATCGCCACCGCGTTCTCCTCGCCCAATCTCCCCCAAAAACCTCTCTAATCGAAGGTGATTTGTGCGGCATTGAGTTTGGGATCGGAAGAGAAGGTAAACCCCTCTATAAACCCTAAGCTCCCCAAAGTTTTATTGGATATTTTGCATTGTTTTGGTTGTAGACGTGGTTTGATAATAGTTGGCTAAGGATGGATTATTAGATGGATAATATGGGTGGGGATGAAGTGTGGAGGTGGCATATCTTTATCTATTTGGTTGTTATTGATACATTTGACAAAATATATTTGGGATGGATGTTTGGTGATGCACTAGGGTTTGATGGGAGATGGATGTGTGGTGATGGCCTAGGATGTGGGATGGATTTGTGGTGATTGAGAGGGTTTGAAAGGGGTTGATGTGTGGTGAAGGGTAGGTAATTTGTAGGAGTAGAGTTTTTTTTTATCAATAATGTGTAGTATTTGAGTAATGTACTTATTTATTGGAAAAATTATACATGTTGTTAGCTTTTGAAGTATTGGTATTGCAATGGTAATTACATATTATTTTCAAGTAATTAATGTTTATGCATGGGTTAAAAATTGTAGATGGATAGATTGGTCCGGCTTCATTATGGTGGTTGTGTGGTAGATGAAAGTACACATGGAAGCCAATTTGAGGGAATGACAGTTAGACAATTAGTGTTTTTTGCGAAGCCTACCTTTGAGGAGTTAATGTCTCGCATCAAGCATGAATTGGATTGGAATGATGAGTCGGTTGGTATGCAAGGGAGATACGATGTGGGCGGCGGTGTCATGTCACATAAATTTATGTTAGACTTGAATGGAGAGATCGAATGGCAAACATATATAGATATAGTATTGGGGTCACATTTCAAATCTCTTGAGGTGTTTGCATGGAAGAAAGATGGTAGGATAGGGAAGAAAGAACTTATAGAGCTTAATGAAAGTCCACTCATAGAATCACCCATTAGCTGTCACGAACTGTCGGAGAGGTGTAGTAGGAAGGAAGAATTGATTGAGGAAGACGTGGAGGGGGGCGAGGGAGTAAATGATATGGCGGATGTGGAGGTCAGGGAAGAGAATGACCCGGTAAGGGAGGAAGTACATGCTGAGGAGAATGTGCCGTTAAGGGAAGAAGTACATGTAGAGGACAATGTGCCGTTAAGGGAGGAAGTTAATGTGGAGGAGAATGTGCCGGTAAGAGAGGAAGGAGATGTTGAGGATGGTCGGGAGGTAGGAGATGATGTGGAGTTGCCTGAGGAAGAAGCGAATGCTAAGAATGTAAGTATGGGCCTAAGGGAGTTGGCTAGGCTGAAATTCTATACCCGAGAGGAGTGTGAGGAGGCTATGATACGCAGTGGATTGAACCCAGGCTGGTTGGAGTATGATACAGAGGATGAATTGGATGAGTCCGCTTCCGACTCCGATGATGATCGTCCAGTGCGTAAGATGTCAGAGCATGAAAGGACTGTGTTTGCGAAACTGGTGGGTAGAAACCCGGAAATAACACAATTCGAGGATCTTACCAGATCTGGTGTTGGTGAAAGATAGCGGCAGACGGCAGCACTTTGTTGGCAGAAGATCTTCAGTGGGTGATTGATGGAAAGAGAGGGGAGGCGCAGGGTATAGCTATTTCGGAGGGAGCAGCTCAGGTGGTTGTGCGTGGCGACGACGGGGGAGATCCTGAGCGGCGTAGGGGGCGGCGATGTGGGAGGAGAGCGATGGCTGCGTGATTTGGGGAGGTCGTGGCGCGGTTGGCGTCGCCAATCTTGCAAAATACTGAAGGAACACAAAGAGAATCAAATCCAGTATGAGTAAAAACTTTTGAAAGTGCAGTGTGACAGTGGAATTCTTCTGTTTGACCATTTTAGTGAATAGTTTTAACAATTGTCAGGAAACATATTCATCTAGATTAGAGTGTTTATACTCAACAAACCAATGCATATGGAAGATCAATATGTACAAAGGTATATTACTACAAGGTTTCGATGGCAATCCATGCAGAAACTAAAGGGAAAAAGATAAATCAACAGAATATTAAGAAATTAGCTCTAAAAACAATGAGGCATTCATCAGCTGCAATGAATATCATGAAAAATTGCACAAACATCAATAGGTTTCGTACGGAATAACATGACGATGAAATCAGAACTCATTCAACTGCATGATTGTCTAGGGTGAACTGAATTTTCGCCTCAACTTTTTTGCCCCCCCCCCCAAAAAAAAAAAACACCCTAAAGGCATATCATCGAGCACTACGGGAGCAATGCCACAATGGTACCTTCTCAGGAGCCACAGTATTTTCGGGCTGGAGGAGCGCGCCACGTGCAGGGGGGGGAGCACGGCGGGGGGGTTGGACGGCGATTCAAACTCCGGTTCTGCCGCCCCTGAATTTTCTGATACGGGGCGGCGCGATAGCAGCTGGGCGGCGGCGAACTGCGGTCGGGGTGAGGGGTCGCCGGCGGCGTGATTTGCGGCCTTGCGGGTGTGCGAGAGAGAGAGGAGAGAGGGGAGGGGCGGCGGCGCGATTTGCGGGTGTGCGGGCGATCTGAGAGAGGAGGGGATAGGGGCGAGAGGTGAGAGAGGAGGGGGAACGTGGCGATACGAGGGGCGTTGGCAGGGTTTATACATTCCAGCACGGTTTTCGACAAGTTTTGTACTAGTACCGAATTTTAATTTTGACCAAATTTACTGTATGATATTTGAATTTGTCTGAAAGCATTCGAAATCCCAATCAAACCGAGCCTTGTCAAAACGTCGAAAAACCGCGAAAATCGATCGGCTTTCATTGGCTTTGTAAACCATGGGCGTTGGATTAGATGATTATATGGATCATCGGATTTGATATAATATAATAAATAATGAATAATAATATAATATATAATAATAAATAAATCATAGGTTAATAGACTATAGTGCAACAGTAACCGTGTAGGCGTGTACTAGTCATGATGAAGGAATTGAACATGGTGAAGGAATTGAACGTGTTGACTTGTGTAACTGGTGGTAAATCTAGCTATCAATTTAGTCTACTATGTTGTAGCGTATCGGGTGAAATTAAGAGAAGAAAGTGATAGTACTCATTATTGAGTGAATTTTTTTAATAAGTGGTTATAGCTTTTTAAGTAAAGGCCAAAATTTTTTGTTCCATTATTGAAAAAATAGCAAAGCCCAGCAGGCATTGAGAGGGTAGAAATTAGCAACCAAATTCAGATTGCAGACACTCATTGTATTCAGCCTGCATACATGGCTGTTCATGCAAATTTGTACACGGACACCGGTAATTTATTCTGAATAAACAGTCGCATGTTCTTTCATGTATTTATTAAGTTTCATCACTTCAAGTGTTTCTGAAACCAGTCCAGCATTAAGGCGAGAGCTTGTTTCCCGGTTTCGAGAGCAAACGGGTCGCTGGTGTTATATCGACCGGCAAATCCATGGGAAACTCCTGGAAAAATCTTGGCGTAGAAATCAATCTGCAACAACAAAAATATCATGGTGTTACTCTGTATTATATGCTAGAAGAATAAATTGGGTCAAAGCCACAGTTTTTTTTAATTGATTTACAAGTGCCTTGAACATTGATGGACTTGTTAACCTGCCAAATATTTCAGTTTCAGTTATTCAGAGCTTTCAATCCTTTATTAGAACACACATAAGTTTTTTTTTCTTTCTCTATTTAATAAAATTTGCCGCATGTGCCGATTTATTAAAAAAATCCCTTATTTATTCACGATGAGTCATCAACACGTGGATTTAACCTATATGTGATTGAGAGGATGAGGGACAAATTAGAAATCGTGTCAACTTTTAGTGGAAAATGAAGATTTTATCCGAGAAAAAAAGGTAACGAGACAAAAACATGCTGGACGAAATCAAACAAGAACTCACATCGTTTCTTTGACGCAAGGCATGCACATACTGGTAGACTAATCTTGGTGGTGTAACTGTGTCATTCTGGCCTCCAAGGATCTCGATGGGCCATTTAACCTCTGTTTATCAACGGGAATAATTAATATGAGTAAATAATACAGATTAGATCAAATGATAAATATTGCATAGCGCCAAAAAGATCAACTTCACCTTTCATATCATCAGCAGTCACTGCGTAAGGATGAGAGATGACAACCGCTTCTACCTCATTGGTTTTCGCTACCTCCACAGCAAACTTTCCTGCCAGATAAACATGTTTTTAGAGACTTTAATTTCTATCAAACATAGTATAATGTGGATAGCAATTGAGGAAGTTTCAAGAATATATGTAGATATAAACACATAAATACATTTTCTTTTGTTTGATCAATATGACTCACCACCCCAACAATATCCTCCAACTCCAACAAGTGATTTCCCTTCGTTTCTTAGAAAAGCAAAGATTGATTTAGCTTTTTCAGCTTCTTTCACCTGCCATGCATGGTCAATTGAATATGCTCATCCCTCGCAAAAAAAAATTGAATATGCTCATCAATATCTACTTGTTGACTCAATTTCAACCTTTTGACTCATTGATATGCATCTTAATTTTCTAAAAAACAGAGGGGGAAACCCTCAGCTTCCTACAGAAACCATCCCTTACCCTCCATAAGCATCTCAGACAGGTCAAGGACTGAAGGTTTTGTTATGCAACTAAGATCAAATCACTCCTTAGTAGGTAAATCATTTGTATTTATTCAACTAAGATCAAATCACTCCTTAGCAACTAAGATCAAATCACTCCTTCGTCACAACAAACTTGAATAAATCATTTTTCACATACCCCAAAATCTAAACTTTAAAAGGTTTTATTTTTTAATGATCAAAATTAGCTCGTATTGACAGCACGTGTTCCAAAACGAGGCCCTATTTGTTTCAGCTTAAGATTATTGTGATCTAGATTATTAAATCAGATTACTATAAGCCAGATTATAATAAGCTGACAAAGAATAAGCTGTGAGTTGTTTGTTTCTCTAGATTATTGGAGGCATCTAAGGGTAGTGAGTCTTTAGCTACTCAATAATCTAGAAAAAGCTCCTCCAAAGGAGATTATTAGGTTATAATAATCTGGTTTATAGATTATAATAATCTACTTATTTGTTTCAGCTTACTCCTAATAATTCAGATTATAATAATCCTAAGCTGAATCAAGCGGGGCCTACTCCCTCCGTCCCATAAAAAACCAACCTAGGATCGGATTTGACACATCTCAATACTACGAATCTAAACATAGTACTAGGATATGTCATATCCGGTTCTAGATTGATTTTTTATGGGATGAAGGAAGTATTTCTCGGAGCATAAGTACTGTAAGAACAAATCACTTCAGCCTCGTTTCAGTGGACCAGTTGCCCCATCCATGTGTATGGGGTATGACTTTGAAATTTTGGCCTATCCAAACGACGGCTTAAGATGGTGATCGAGACGAATTGTACCGGAGAGTGAGACTCGAGCCATTCGGTAAAGTTCACAGTTGTGGTTGCTGGATCTCCATGAAACAAATCAGGTACCACGACGTAATATCCGGCATCACCAACTTTATCAGCTATTTGCCTGTAATTGTCAGCATCATTATTATCACGCAAATGTGTTCTGTTTTCCGAAGTTATAGAGAAAACATATAAGAGCAAAAACACACACACACATACATGTGTTAGGGACTTAAGGTGTGTTCAGAACAACATTTTCCCAATTGCTAATCCCTCGTTTTCCATGCGCATACTGTCCAAACTGTCAAATGATTTGTTTTTTTCAAAAGAAAATTACATGAAAAGTTACTTTAAAATCATATTAATAAATTTTTTAAGTTTTTTTACCTAATACTTAATTAATTATATGCTAATTTGCCACTCCATTTTATATGCTGGAGGTGAAGGGTTCCTAACCTTCAACACCGAATTCAGCCTTACAGCATCTCCAAGAGACTCTCCATTCAACTCTCTAAGCTAAATTTTAGCCAACATAGCAAAAAAAAAAAAATAGTGCTCCAACAGACTTTCCGTCTATATGGCCAAGCCATCTAGCTGGCCAAATATGGCCACTCAATGCTATCGTCTATTTTCCTCCTCCCACGTTCTCTCTCTACCTCCATCAACCATAGCAACATTGTCGTCCTGGGAGCCGACTGTGGCCGTGGCCGAGTACCCTACCAACCACTGACTGCATGCGTGCCGAAGAGGTCGTAGCCGCGCACTAGGTCTGCCGCCTCACCGGACTTCTTCCAAGCACCGTCCCTACCGGTTCCCACTGCCACCCTGCCCCGCCCCACGCCGATTCCTACTGCTGCGGGTGATGACCACCACCACCACCATCTGCCGCTGCCCCTTGAGACCACCACCGACCCCGACCCCATCACCGCCTAGACTAGCGCCCTCCTCCATCGCTCCTTCATCCCTCTGCCAGCTGGACCCGTGCCATTGTGGCCATGGTAGCGGACTAGCAGTTGCTTCGCGGCATCCGCACCCGTGGCCTCCACTGCTTCCTCCCCCGCACCGTCTCCGCCTCCGTTCATCCTTGTCACCGTTGCTTTATGCCCTCATCGCCATCAACATCCCACCCTCCCTCCGTCACGTGTCACCCCACGGAGCGGCGACGTGGAGGAAGGGACGAGTAGCTGATGCACCAGGGAATGTCGCGGCGGCTACACGGAGGGTGGCCATCTAGAGGCACCCTTCCCCTCCCCTTCGTCCTCTCCGCCATCGCCAGCAGCTGCTCCCAGGCTCCCAGCTCCTCCCGGCTCTGCAGCTACTGCTCCGGGCCGAGGAAGTGGCGGCAGCGTGGAGAAAGGGGGAGAGACAGCGGTGTGGAGGGAGTGGAGAGAGAAGAAGAAGAGAAGAATAGAGAGGATGGGTGAAAAAGGGTGGGAAGGTCAACATGTGGGACCTACTGTCACAGACGTAGAGGATGTTGAAGTAAGTAATGAATCTGATTTGACAAATCAGATGAAGAGTTAGCTATATGAGTGTTTGAAGAGTCTAATTTATATAATTTGGATAGTATGTTGGAGAAACTCATAGGACTCACCAACATAGGTGTGTGTTTGTATGTGCGTGAGTGTGTTTGCTTCTGACTTGTACATGAAAAAAAAGTAGGATTTGTCAAAAAGAATTTAATTGGAATGAGAAACTTGGGCAAGCGTTGGTGCATCTTCCATTTAATTGAAATAAAAACAGTTTACCATATAAAATGAACATTTTTCCACGCCATTATTTTCTATGTAGAAATTAAATCAGTCTCTTTCCATAGCAGTTCATGTGTCAATTTTCTTTCCATGCGATTGTGACATGGCTACAAATCGGACACCCGATTTTATGGTGAAAAAGTAGGTGCTCTCCCCTACTACACTGTTGCATTTTTGGCTAGTGCAAAGAGGAGTCTACCCATACGCATGCAAAGCTACACACTTTATATCTCATTCCCATATATTTTATTTTAGCCTCCTTCTCGTATCTTCAAACTATTTTTTCCTAAATTATTTACCATATAAACGATTTGATCATACCATTATATTTGTTATAATTAAATTTTTACAGTAATATCTTACACGATTATATTTTAATCAAAAAAGTAATATGATTTGTGCTAGAAAAGAAAACTAGAAAAGAGGAGGATGACAAAGAAAATTTACCTCAGTAACGGCGCTTGGAAACCTGAGGAGTTAAACCAAATTAACAATCACGCATGCAGCAGCAAGCAATGAAATTAGCAGTTCATCATCAGTCCATAATCACCAAGGAATGAACAAATGGCAGTAGTGATCACTGATCAGTTAGCTAGCTAGCTCAGGCAATCATATGCGTACTAACCGTAGACGTCGGAGGCGAGGACGATGGCCCGGCCGGAGTGGGCGGCGCCGGTGACGTAGGCCTCGTAGCCCGCCAGGTCGTGGACGACCACGCCGGCCTCGCCGCCGCCGGCCTTCATGTCCGGCGGGTGCTCAAAGCACTGCAAGCGCGGCGGAACAGCCGCGGCGGCGGCGCCGGCCGCCGCGGCGAGGCAGAGGAGGAGGCTCAACGAAGCAGTTGCCATATGGTTAATTTGCATACTGATGGGTGAGAGACGATGCTTGGGCTTTTGTAACATGGATTTAACCGGTAGAGTCAGATGAACGCTGCAATCCTGCCCCCCTTTTTTTCTTGGAAAAAATAAACAGAGTGAAACTACCACACTTTGTAGGACGTACTCACTCCGTCTCATATTATAATTTGTTTGGTTTTTTTTTCTTAGTTAAATTTCTTTAAATTTGTTCGATTTTATAGAAAAATATAGTAACGAACATATTAAAATATGTTCAATGTCAAATTTAATAAAATAAATTTAGTATTGTAGATGTTGCTATTTTTTCTATAAACTTGCTCAAACCCTGAAGAATTTTGACTAAAAAATATAATTAAATGACTGTAATATGGAACGGAGGGAGTACTCCCTAACTATTTGTCATTGTCGTTTAGAATTATATGTTATTGTCCTTTCGAATTATTTGTCGTTGTCGTTTCAAGGTGGTCCAATTTAATGTTTGGAATATAGTGAGTTGAACCACATTCGCATCAATTCTACGTGTCCCAAGCTCAAGAAATATTTCGAGGAGGATGAGAAAGACAACAAGGATAACAACGACTTATCTTAATTTGAAGATAAAATTAAAGGAAGAACTACAAGTGCAAACTTGTGTGTCAAATGCTACAAGCTTTCAAAGGAAGTTGAGTTTAGCGATGAAGAATAATCGGAAAGCGAGGATGATAAAAAAGCAGATGCAAAAAGGTAGCCATTTGTAAGTTTATGTCTTACTGTAAAATGCTCGTGCGTTGCAACATGAAAACCTACCCACTTAAAACTGTGACACCTTATTACACATGTAGTATTCCAGTGAAACGTGACATTGCCTCATGTGAATTGTTATCTCGTCACGCTCGCTTCATACAAAATGGGAGGTATCGAATCATATGTGTTGAAATCACATCAATATTGGGGAAAACAACAAAGAAAATAATATCATAAACAATGACTAACCAAATGTAATATTATTTTCTTATCGCCCAAAAATTTTAGACCATTTAATAATTGAGAAAATTCGATCGATAGCATAGGAAAAAAAACAGTACCAAAAAATAGCACAAAAATTTTTCGCTTTCGACTAGAAGCACAGGCCACCGGTTTTTCTTCGCTCTATAGCACTTCCGTCAGGTTTAGAGTTAACAGCATTAGATTGAAGTATAGAAAAATTTTGTTGGACCCATTTGCCCTTCGTCTTCCTGTGTCATCTCGTCCTCTCGGACCGGTGCCCACGATGACGGCGCCATCGCCAAACTGCGACGCGGCGACGATCCCCGTCCCCATCCCCGCCGCCGCCATCCCCGTCCCCAGCCACGTGCCATTCCGTGTCTCTGTCGGCTCCCGTCGCGACGACAACAGTAGTTGTAGGAAGCTGTACGAGCCCCGGCTGGTGGCCATCAGGCTCTACCACCGTGGTCGGGACGAGCACCATGCCATGGAGCAGCACAAGTGGCGCTTCCTCCAGCGAGCTGCACCCACCGTCCCGCTCTCCGACTTCGTGGACGTGGTTCGGGCCGTCGAGCAGCGTGCTCGCTGCTGCTACAGCGAGAGCACGGCCATCTTGAACGACGACGGCGACGGCTTCGCGGAGATGCTGCTCCTCGACGGCTGCTTCATTCTCGAGTTCTCGGCGAAGCTGAGCCGCACGAATTAGTGCACTTGCAAAAAGCTAATTAGGATTTAATTAATTAGTTGATTAATTTGTTGGCGCTGGCGCCGCCATGGTTGCAGATGCTCCCGATGGCCGCCATCTCATCACCGCTGCCCTGTGGAGACGACACGAGCGAGCTGAGCGCGGAGTCGAAGTGCGCCATGGACTCCGCTGCCGCCGGCACCATCATCACCATCTGTTCAGCCGCCACCGCCCATGGCGGCATCATTGTCATCGTCGCGTTCGCCGCCACAGCGGGCAGCAATGCGCCCGCACCTGTGCCGGCGCTGGACGAGGAGGTGAAGGAGGAGAAGTAGTCGCGCAGCGGGGAAGAAGTGCTCGTCGGCCATCATCGTCGTCGGCGGCGGCGTACAGCGGCCCACATCCATCCACGCTCGGGCAGTCGGGGAGACGAGGCGGTCGCCCGGCACGCCGATGGTTGCCGCGCCGCCGTCCACGAGGGAGTGGAAGAGGAGACCTGGTGGGGAATGTGGGGAGCGAAGGGCAAATGTGTCCGACGAAAATTTTCTCTACTCCGATCTAATGCCGTTACTTCAAAATGCGACGGAAGTGCTACGTGGCGAAGAAAAATCGGTGGCCTATGCTATGGATCGAAAGTGGAAACTTTTTGTGCTATTTTTTTACCACTTTGTTTCCTGTGCTATGGATCGAATTTTCTCTTAATAATTTTGGTGATGGTGCTCAATTGAAAAATGAATTGAATTCATGCGTTACAGAGACAAATTCTCAGTGAGAAAATGGTTAATACCAGTGTTGAATTAGCAAAGGATACCATAGTTTACCTTGAACCATGACAATCTCTAAAAGTTAATGTTTTGATATCAAAAGAAACTGATAAACATCAAGCATGTTTTTTAATCACCGGGAAAAAAAAGGCTTGTTCTATTTTTTTTAAAGTAAATTTCAGAAAACTGTAACTATAATGATAAAATTATCAGTTTACTACAATATTAGTGATCTATTTCAGTTTGCTGCAATAATAGCGTGAGAAATTATCACAAAACTATTAACTTTTACGTGATATGCTGCTACAGTTGTTACCTACATGTCATGTAGCAGTATATCACATAAAAGTTACAGTTTTGTGATAATTTTCTACGCTATTGTTGTAACAAACTGAAATAGAAGCCCCCTCCAATTTTTCTAAGCTCCACTGCTGTGGGACTTCCAACTTTCTAAGCTCCAATTGCAGAAGTCCTCTCTTTCAGTTTGCATTTGTTCCAACGTTCAAATTTGAAGATTAGTTTTAACTTTGAACTTGAGAATACATGCATGTGCGTTGGGTTGAATTCCCACCGCTGAGAGATTTCCAGGGGAAGGAATCGGAAAGTTTCATAAATCAATTCAGCAGTTAATACATCGACAAGCTCAATTCAGAGAAAATCATAGCCAATTAATCACATTGACATGGCTGGTTATACTTATACATGGACACCGGCAATTTATTTAGATGAAAATGAATAAGTGCAATTTTCTGTATTTTCACAAATGACTATCTATATTGTCATTTTTTTAATAGAATAATCTATATTGTCATTTCAAGTATTTCTCAAACCAGTCAAGCATTAAGGCAAGAGCCTGTTGAGCAGTTTTGACAGCAAACTGGTTGCTGGCGTTATATCTGCAAGCAAAGCCATGAGACACGTCTGGAAAGATCCTGACAAAGTAATCAACCTGCAACAAAGATGCAGTCCATTAGAGGCACTTTGTAATTTGCATCTTTTCTTAAACATCATTGAGTGGTTGTGTTGAAGAAAAAATTAGGGTCTTCTTGCAAATATAGAACAAGTCAAGAAGATATAGGATATTTTCCGAATTTATGGCCATGTACATGTATGGAACTTTAATTGCAATAATGTACTAGTGTTCAGACTTTAGTTATTGTAAATTTCCCAAATGTTCTTCTCAAAAACAACTTTCCAAATGTTGACTACCAATTAGAGCCAGCATGATCTTTTAATATCTCATCATTTCTGGTAGATTTATATCTTGTCTGTTTACCGTTTCAGTTTTTTTTTTTGGGGGGGGGGGGGTTGAATAAACTCTGTTTCAGTTATTCTTGTGCTTTCTAATATGTATTTTTTTTTACAAAATTTAAGATCATTTGGCATCAGGTGCCAATGAAACACAACAGCAACTCACCTCAGTTGTTTGACGCAACACATTCACAAACTGGTCCACCAAACTTGGTGGTGTTATATGGTCATTCTGACCTCCAAGGATTTCAATGGGGCATTTGACACCTGTGTTCAATGTGAACTAAGTAACAAAACAAAGGCTACTTGGATACAACTTACATAAAATGACTAGATAATTCGTGTATATGTAGTGCAACCAATTAAGCATCAAATCAAAACAAGTTAAATTCACCTTTCATATCATCAGCAATCACCTCTGAAGGATGAGAGATGACAATCGCTTCAACTTCATTGGTTTTGGCCACCTCCACAGCAAACTTCGCTGTCAGTTGAACTTGTGCTGAGACTATAATATGATCTAAATCTAGCTGTGGAATCTAACTAGGAATTTGCAAAAAAAATTTAGAGTGTAATCCTAATGTACTGGTGTATGATATGTAAAGACATTTTTCTTTCGCTGGTTAGTTTCGCTTACCACCCCAACAATAACCTCCAATTCCAATAACAGATTTGCCTTCCCTTTTTAGAGCAGCAAAGATTGATTTAGCATCTTCAGCTGCTTTTACCTGAAATTCAAATTGAATATACTGATCAATATCCATTAATTGACTCCACAATAAGCACCATATGGAAAAGGTTTTTTTTATGCAACTATGATCATTATTACTTGGCGTTTTGAAACGAACCATGTAAGATTTCATATTGATATAGCATTAAAAAATTACAAGACCATAGCCCTAAATAGTTATGAATAGGGGGAAAAAAGAAACAACAGTCACACCACGTGTCTACAAGATGTAAACTTCCTCCTGTTTGGATCCCCTTGAGCTATTTTGGGGCTAAAAGGGGTGGGCTAAAAAATATCCCTAGGATCTAAACACCCCCTATGTAAACGGTGAAACAAATTACCGGAGAGTGAAGTGTGATCCATTTTGTAACGTTTATACTTGGGTCTCCATTGTAAGGTTGTCCATGGAAGAAATCAGGTACCACAACGTAATACCCAGCTTCACCAACTTTGTCGGCATTGTCCCTGTAATTGTCAGCATCAGTAACCACACATCAGCTTGTAAATTGTTTTTGGAATCTAGAATGGGAATAAAAGTAGAATTTGTATGAGATAAATTTAGCTGGGATGTCGTACTATTTGAAGCTCAAGGAAGCACTTAAAACTGGAACGTAAAACATAGATTTCAGTAAAATCCACATGAAGAAATCACGGGTTTGTCGTTGTATTGTTGGAATTCAAGATATTTCTACAGAAACTGGAACACTGAAATTGGATCATTGTCAACCCTTCATTGAGTTCCGAATACGTTTGTCCTAAGGATAAAATCGGATAAAATCTGATGGCTTTTTACTTATAAAACTGTCAGAATTTTTATTTATTTCATTATAATGCATAGACTTTACATATTTTTTGCCCCAAAAAAAAAGTTCCGACTTCGTTTGTCCTAAGGACAAAATCTGACGGTTTTTTACTTGTAAAACTGTCAGAATTTTTATTTATTTCAGTATAATGCATAGACTTTACACATTTTTTGCCCAAAAAAAAGAGTTCCGACTACGTTTGTCCTAAGTACAAAATCTAATGGCTTTTTACTTGTAAAACTGTCAGAATTTTTATTTATTTCAGTATAATGCATAGACTTTACACATAGGTATAATATTATTGGCATGTACAGTATTTTCAATAATTTCCACTGTATTTGTCACTTATATATATGCACGATGTGTGGACTTAAAGTTTGTGTGAACATGAAATTTTCCATTAAAATTATATATATACATATATATATATAAACCCGCTTGACATATTTATATCATTAGCGGGAGGATAGAATATGGAAAAATTGCAAAATGAGTATATCACCTCTTTAAATTATAAATTATTTTAGGTTTGTTATAGATCAAACCTCTTTAAGTTCGACCAAATTTATAGAAAAATTAATATATTGAACGATGGTTGTTGAATGAAATTAATTTGATGTTGTAGATGTTTCTACATTTTTTATAAACTTATCAAACTTAATGATATTTGACTTAGGTCAAACCCAAAGTGGCCTATAATATGAAGGGAGGGACGAATAGTTTAAAACCATGATTAGTCCCAAAATGATCAGGAAATTAAACTATTTGAAATGAAAGATGAGCATTGTCTAATATTATTTATTGAAACCCTGATGATGGCCTTATGGGTGATGAGAACTATTATTCACGCATGTCACTGCAGAAAGATAGGGATAATTCAGTAAAAATGACAATATCACCTTTTAAGTCATACAATTATTTGTCATGTTTGCTCTGTTTATTTTCCCTCAAATTCAGTCTCTTTCTAGAGTTGTTCAGGTGTTAATTTCTTTCACTAAATTTGTGGAGCAAATGAAGAAAATTGCGGAGCAAGATGACAGACAACGACGACGAAGAGAGGAGGAGGAGGTTAAAGAAATTGACGAATACTGTACCTCAGCAATGGTGCTTCGAATCCTGAAGAAACCAAATTAACAGCGACAATTAACAGCTGATCACTCGATAATCAGTTGATAATCACTACTAACCATAGATGTCGGAGGCCACGATGATGGCCCGGCCGGAGTGGACGTCGCCGGTGACATACGCCGGGAAGCCTGCCAGGTCGTCGATGACCACGCCGGCCTCACTGTCGCCGTCGGCCGTCAGCTCCGGCGGGTTGTCGAGGCACGGCAAGCGCAGCGGATCGGCAGAGGTGGCAGCGCCGCCGCCGCCGCCGCCGGCCACGGCGAGGCAGAGGATGCTCCAGCAGAGCAGCAACGAAGACGGCGCCATGGTAATTAATTAGCTCTACTGATCATAGTTGCTGAAGCAGCTTTTGTACATGGATTTAGACGGTAGTAGGTAGCAAAAGGAGACGCACCTATGACATGTTTAGTGTCGCATCGACGTTGCAATCCTACGTCCTTAACCAGGAATGAAATAAATAGGTGACTTGGAAGTTTTCAACTTAAATTTGAGAGTTAAAAGTTAGAATCTAAAGTTTTAAAATCTATACATAATTATTTTTTTAAAATTTTCGAGTTGAAAGATTTGAAAGTTTAAATTAGATACAAACTTTGTATACGTGTATATGGTTTTTATACATCAAAAGTATATACATATAAAAAATTTGTATTATATGTACGTATGTATATAATTTACATACATACGTATAACCTTTTTATATGTGTATATAAAGTTGAGAGAATATATTTTATACCATTGAATTTATCCCAGTTTAACGATTTGCCAATGACATTATCTCTTTCTACTATGTACTGATGACTCTATCAATTGTGATAGGCCTCTTTTTAAAAAATACCCAAAATACCTTAGAGATATACATGGTTAACAATTAATTTATCTCATTAGAAAGTTTCAGAAAATATGAAATTTTTTATATGCCCTCCTTACACAACAGAGAAGTATGTACATAAGTTTCAATTTTTTTATATATTTTTTTAAAAATATTTTTGTGTGGTATATCATAGAGAAATAGCTTACACAAAATATAAGAGAAAAAATCTTATGTTGCATATGAAAGATAATTTATATTAAAAACAACAACACAAAAAATATTTTATATAGTATATAACAAATAAGTTATATTTTTAAAAAATAGAAATGAAAAAAACTTATATACAAACTTTTATACTTACAGGAGGCCACATAAAAGTTTTCATATTTTTTTTAAACTTCTAATGATATAAATCAACTGTTAACCTTATATGTCCATAAGGGTATTTTAGGTAGGCACCAAAATCAGTCGAAACCGTCATTCACACAACTATGATACTCGATTTCCACTGATTTTGATAGTTGACGGATACTATATACTCCATCTGTTCCATAATATAAGGCACAACCATTTTTTTTGGATGTTCTATAATATAAGGCATGCATGCATATATACAATTAATTAGAACCTCTTCTCCATTAAATTATTACTTTTCTAAATCCTCCACCCTCAAGATCTCTAATTCTATTGGATACATGCATTATATTTATTAGAGTGGTCCAAATTAGAAGATGATAATAGATAGTTGTGACTTATATTTTTGAACGGAGGGTTTGTGGTTTAAGGACGCGAATGAAACTAAAAAACGAAACAAGATAAATCAGCCCAGTAGCAAACTGGGCCTGGGAAAGCTTCGGCTCGAGCCCCACGTGCGTCGTCAGAAGGATGGACTCATCGTCCTTAGGTCATGGCCCAGCATCCTGCATATGCCTGAGTCGATGATGGGTAATCCTCCTCCTCCCCTTCTCGGCTTCTCGCTCGCTCCCGACCTCTCTCCACCCTCCCCAAGACCGGTGGCGAGCAGCCAGCTGGGGATGCGCCCTCTCTGCTGCCGGAGAATCTGGATCCGGCCGGCATCGGCGACGGCGACGGCGACGGCGAGGGCCGGACGGCCAGATCGACGGCGCCCTCGACGTGGGGTGGAGAGCAGGTATGCCACGCACCTCTACTCCTCCTAGGTCGCTCTGCGCGCTGTTCTTTGGCTCCGACTGAATCCATCCGGTTATGAGTTTTTGTACCATATCGCCCATTCTGAGACAACACCACCTGTTTATTAGCTCGATTTGATTCTATTCCATCGCCACCCCAGGGACACCCACCCCGACTGCAATGGGCAGCGGTAGGGCGTGTATCCGCCCTACCGTTTCAGCTGCAAAAAAAAAAGGCAGTGAAAAGATCCCCTACTTTGGGGCACGGCAGGCGACCCCCTGCCGGCCAGCTGCAAAAAAAAAAGAAAAAAAAAAGGAGCAGTGAAAAGATCCAACTAGACTCAAATATAAATGATATGTCATTGGCACTTAGCCGATCGGCTATCATTTATAGGTTTAAATGCGGTTTCTTTGTTTCTGTTTCTTGTTGATTGCAGGATCAAATCAACTGGTACGCTAGCATACCCGAAGGCGAGTTTTGGGCCTGCACTGGAGTTAAGCAAATCTCCTAGGCCTCGTGTTTTACGTCAACAATAATTAATTGAAATATCAATTTCCTGGAATATTTAGGTATTTTTAAGTAGGTATGTGTATAATTAAATTAATTTATAAGTAAAGTAAGTGTGAGAAATAAAATGATATGTGTCGGTGATATGGGCCCGGGGGTACCAAGACTAGATGGAGTAGGCTGCCCCCATCGCCACGTGGCCCTCTCCTGAGGGCGGTCGGGCCCGGGGCTAGGCGGCGGCTGCCCCCTCCCATGAACCCGACCCCCTCCGTGGGTTGCCACGTGTGGTGGGTTAAGTGGCCGCCTCCGTGCGTCCACTTACCCGTATTTATGGTGGCTTGAGCGGGCGTGCCATGCCTCATTTAATGCGGTGTACTGCGTATCCATCTGGTCTGTGATCGGTTGATTGACTGACGAGACAAGGGGTGTCAGACGCACTACCGCGCATGCCAGGCGGCGTGTGTCTTGCCCTGTCCCATCGGTCATGATGATGAGAGGTCTTAGCCTCCCATCACAACCGGAGTTGGCTCGTCTGCCCTGATTAGGGCAGGGGTTCCGTTTCCCGGTAAAAATGAGAATCTCAGGCTGGTGGGTCCTTCACTGTTACACGTTTGTAACCACCAAGCACAACGATGACGAGCAGTATGAATGGGAACCCGGAAGTCTTCACCCCATAAATGGCGATTGATAGGGGCGTCCCCCGTGTCAAGCGGCAAGATTTGATGGGCCCCATGACCAGCGCAATATTCGTATTGCTTTCCAAGTCAAGGAACAAGACATGCGTTTAATACAAAGAATGTAATCCTTCTCCCCTAAGTTAGGTTTTTGGGCCCATGTGGTAACCCCTTGAGGTATAAAAGGAGGTCCAGGCCTACTGAGGGAGAGGATGAGCCTTTTTGTGTAGAGCGTACACCCCGCCTCCAAAATCCGCATTAGTCTGCTCTACACGTTGAGCGGACCCACGTTCTCATGGTATCCCGCTTACACTTTTGTCCTCACTTCGTGTAAAAGGGTTAACCCGGGGATACCATGGTTGGAGCACCAAGGCTTATAAGCAGGCCCTCACCCACCTAAACTTCCAAGGTGGTACTAAACTACCACTACACATCCACTTCTGGGCCACATGGGCCAAACTCACACTACTAACAGGCTTCAAACGGGCTGGGGTGTTACATTCAGCCTGCCTTAAGGGCTGACGCCCCAGCAGCTCACCGTTTACACGGCAGAGGCCCAGAACCCCCTCCGGTGCAGACCATGGCCCAAAGCACATGCATCATACAACGGAGGTTTATGCTCTGATACCAACTGTAACACCCCGCCTCCAAAATCCGCATTAGTCCGCTCTACACGTTGAGCGGACCCACGTTCGCATGGTATCCCGCTTATACTTTCGTCCTCGCTTCGTGTAAAAGGGTTAACCCGGGGATACCATGGTTGGAGCACCAATGCTTATAAGCAGGCCCTCACCCACCTAAACTTCCAAGGTGGTACTAAACCACCACTACACATTCACTTCTGGGCCACATGGGCCAAACTCACACTACTAATAGGCTTCAAACGGGCTGGGGTGTTACACCCTCATCATCAACACCTTCTAGTCCAACAAGGAGATATTGTAACTTCTTACAGGATCAGCTAAGCACAGGAGTAGGGTATTACGCTTCTTAGCAGCCCGAAACTGTATAAACCTCCGTTACCTCATCTTCCTCGAGAGGCCCGACCCCCTCCTTTTCACACTTCCACCACAGAGTTCCTCGAATCTCAACCGCTATCCCCGGCCGAACTAAAAAAGGAGGATCTCACAATTCCCTAATAGAGGAGTTCACCCTCTGACAATATGGTTGGATTTAATTTTTACTAAATTAAGCATGATTTAATAACACTCTTTGAAATTTTGTTGGGACATCATTTCAGTATTTATTTAAATAAAAATCCTCATTTCTCTCCGGGCCATTTTCAGCCCATTTTATTTGTCAGACCGCAACTGAAGTCTAATTAGCTTCCCCAAACTCCTCCTCTCAGCGCGTTGTGTTGGACCCACCGGCCTGCCAGTGGCCCATCAAGCGTGCGCGGCACAACAATGATGCAGCATGGCGATGGAGGCGGCCCGACACGGAGGCGATCAGAGCCGTCCGATCTGATGGATGGCTCGGATCGCCTCCGCGCTGCTAAAGATTCGGATCGGGGAAAACCCTAACCCTAACCATCACTTTCTCCCCTTCTCTCTTCCGATCCCCTCCCCCGGCGACGATTGTGAGAATGGACGGCGGTGACTGGACGGTGGTCCGGAGAGGTGGAGCACGCGTGCGACGACAAGCGCTGAGTGCATCCTTTTGTGCCGGCTGGGGGTGTGCCCGAGGACGGTGCCAAGTCGTGCCACGGTGTCGGTAGACCGGCAAGGTGGTCACGCAAGTGGCGGTTAGCGCCGTGTGGCTCGGACCTCATCGGCAACCACGGGTGGGGTGGGGAGGGATGGGGACAGCGAAGCCAAAAGGCGGCACAAGGCCAACGCTTCCAATCCCCGGCAAGGGACGGTGGGGAAAATTCCATGGCGGCGCACGCACAACGGTGAACCGGCACGACCCCGACAAGGCCGGTAAGTTTCTGAAACCCGAAGCTTACATTTTATGATTTTATTTGGATTTGATTTGGATTTAATTAGTTAAGATATTTCAATGTCCTGTATAATGAGGTTATTATGGGGAGTGGACGATATATTATCTGTTAACTCAACCGATCGCTTTTTGTGATAATGGTCTCGCAGCAATAATATTATTGTAGGTTGTCCATAATAGTATGAATAGTTGGACTCAGTGGCGGACTCAACTTTGAAATATATATGGGATGGAAAACGGAGATGTTCACTCGATAAGAGCAATCGAACACAACACATATCTTATATCTTATTTATAGTTCAATCACAAAACTGCCTCGATCATTGTTTATGGCGTACGCG